TATACTGCAGTGGCTAGGAAATGTGAGTGTTTTTAAATAGTCCATTTTTAGATTGATTAATGGGTGAATGTTGTTGATCAATGAGTAAAATTGTTTTAGATTTTCTCCACCCCATATGATAAAAATATCATCAATATAACAATCGTATCTATATGGCTCTTGTATGTTGTTCAGGGATTTGTCCTCCAGCTGAGCAATAGAAGTTTTACATATTGGGGAGTCATTTTACTTCCCCTAGCAGTATTGATACACTGAAAATAGATGTCATTATTGAAAGTGAAGTAGTTGTGTCTAAGAATGAATTCAATGAGCTGTGTAACATCTACAGCACTGTATTTGTGGTTTGGTGAGGATGATAAAAATCTGTGACATGCAGCCATCCTGTCCTCGTGAGGGATGTTACGGCACAGAGATCCATGCTGACTAGAAGTGTATTTGGTGGCAATTGTCTGTTTTTGAATAGTAACTGATGTTCTGAACAAGATCAACAATATACAGCAATTTCCAAGATCTTGCAGTATACATCAGGGATGAAGAGCTGTACACCTCAATATACAGGAAACTCACTGACAGACGCAGTTCTCTCCACAATTCCAGCTTCCACCACCCACACACCCAAACAGGCCATTATATACCGCCAGGCCATCAGATATCGTTGAATATGTTCAGACCCAAAAGACAGAAATAAATACACAGACTCCTTCCATGAGAAGGACAAAATGAGCATAAACATGGCCCAGGAAATCTCCTTTAATACAAAGCGAAACAAATAACCATGTACCTGTAGTAACCGCATACAATTCAGCACTAGAAGGGATAAGAGAGAGAGATGAGATTTGCAACCCATCATAACAGAGAATGAAACTCTAAATGGAATATTCCACCCCAATATTGGCTTTCAGACAAAACGCCCAACCTCAGACATAAACCAGTCAGCAGGGAACTTCATTCTGATGATGAAGTCACAAATAAAGGAAACAAACACTGCAGCCTGTGTAACCTAATCAATTTATCAAAAAGTGTTACACACACTAACACCCTGGTCACACTGGATGCGAATTGGCATGCCATGAGACTTGCAAACCGCATGCCAAGGTGCACCCTATTGTCCACAATTACAGTGGTCATATCGGTGCGGTTCTAGCTTGGCACCAATTTCTATAGTAGTACATGCACTACTTGTTGTGTGATTTGCATAGACATCTGTGTCCAATGACCTGAAATCGGCATGTCACCTGACTTTGAGTGAAGTCGCACGATTTCAAAGTCGGGCTTGAAGTGACCGGGGTGTAAAGGGACCTTCAATGTCAACGGATCATACAGCTGCACCTCCAGTAATGTGGTGTACCTCATCCAAAGCAAAAAAAAATGCAGCAAAGCATCTTACATTGGTGATACAGGACAGAACTTGCAAACCAGGAGGAATTAGCACAGACACCCCCCCCCCCCCCATTGAGGAACATGATTTCTGCACACCTGTGGGGACTGTTTCTCACAACCAGACCACGCCATGGAAGACTTTAATGTTTTAGTTTACAGCAGGGGCGGAATGACCATGAGATGCCCCTGGTACCTTTTTCATAGACTTTTTTGAGTTTGGGCAAGGACACAGGGGCCCCATGATCCCCTATTGCCTGAGGGCCCATGAGTTGTCAGTCCGCCCCTGGTTTACAGGGAATGTCAAAACCGCTTCGGAAAGAATAACTTTTGAACGAAGAGTGATAATTGTATTTGGCACAAAAGATAATGGACTAAAGGTGGACCAGGACACCAAGAAAGCAGAAGGTGCAATATAGTTGTGAAAGAAACCAATCCTTAACTTGACTTTAAGGTTTCCAAATGTTGATAGCCTGGGGAGGATATGGAGAATATGAAATGCATGATGTTAAATAGGCTGCAGTATGGCTTGGAAGGGTTGCTTTTATGTACCTGTATTTGTCAGGGCATCCATTCACAATTATATCAGATTTTGTAATTTTACGTTTTTCTCCACATTTACATGAAGACCAAGCTTTCCCACCAAAATGGCACTGACAGGCGCTGGGACAAACTATAACCCTACTGAGGATGCACATGGCAGGATGGTACGGACTCTCCCCTCACAGCTTTCCATTCACTTCCGCACGAAGCCCCTTTGTATCCTGACAATGTTTCCAGTGAAGGGTATTGGAGGTTGGGGAAGATTGCAGTCAGAGACCATGAGGCTCCTGCCAAGCTACTTTAGCGAAGATCTTGGAGTCGCACAGTTGTAGGCAAGAAAAAAACTACGGTATATTGAAAGTGCTGGGAAGGGGGTAGAAAAAATAAATACTCTAGAAGTGCACTTAACCCAACAAACCCAAACCAAACTCTTCTGCAACTGCTCAAGCAAACCTGGCAGTGTTAAACTGGCAGAGCAAATTTCAGCTGATTCCTTAGGAATCTGATTTGAGACATGGGTGGCCCTGCCAGTGCCCTCCCCATCGACCTCCTTCAATCTGAAAATTGAATGGAGCCAGGTGGAAAACTGTCAGCCAAACAGTAGCTGCATCAAATCCATTGCAGTCACTGTTCTGGTACAATGACATCCATGGGTGGGGGTGGGGGGGGATCTATGAAACAATAACTGCAGGGAAGATTCCTCCATCCACGCTGTTTAGTGTGGATAAGAAATTGATGGAGAACGGTTAGGCCTCATGTACATTGCTGCGCCTAAACATGAATTTGGGAGTTTTTTTTTTTTCATGGCCAAAGCCCCTGAACACAACTCAAGAAAAGCCTATGTGTCTGTGCAGACAAAGGCTTCTATCAGAATTTAGCTGCAGCAGAGTTTAGGGGCAGTTCAACGTCCCTCTCCTGAACGCAGAAGAATCACATTCAATAGAGGAACGTGTTGGCCAAAAAACGTTTGCCCAATAAAATGAATGAATGCCCAAGTGCTAGAGTACTTGCCATTGAAATGAATAAACGGCCTAGAGCTACATTCAGGTAAACACATTTTTGCTGTATTTATCGGTTTTCTGTTTCCAGCAGTTAACGTCTAAAGGCAGTTCTAGTGTACTTGTAGCCTTATGCAGGCCATAGATGGGTCGAAAATCGGCCGAAAATAAAATTTTCGTATCGTTAGTGGGTTAATTCTTCGGCCGTTTTTCGGTATTTTGGCAAATTTTTTTTATCGGTAAAGTTGGAAAAAGATCGGCCGATTTTCGCGGCAATTATGGGCAAATCGGACGATCTTTTTACCGATAAAAAATCTGCGCATGAGCAGTGACCTGCAAGAGGAAGACAAAAAGGAGGGAGGAGGAGGAGTTCCAGTACCGCAAAAAGTGTCCCTGCAGAGAGCTCCGCTACTTCTTTGACAGCGCTTTGACATTTATAGCGGCTGCAACAATGTATCTATTCGTTTCCAAATAAAAACATCTGTATCCGAAATTGATACAAATAGATACAATGTTGCAACCGATATAAATGTCAAAGCACTGTCAAAGAAATAGCGGAGCTCTCTGCAGGGACACTTTTTGCCGGCTGTAGACAGGATGAAAATCGGCAGATTTTGGGGTGTTTTTTACCGTTCCTGGTAATGTCGGCCGCTTGAACGACCGATTTTTCATTTTTTTAAAGAAAAATCGCTGTTTTTCTCCCCATCTATGGCCTGCATTAGGGTGACTGTTAAAAGTGGTGTTTTTTTTTTTTTTTGGTTGTTTGTTTTTTCCGTTCAGCCAGTGGGTTGAATTAAACACAACTAATGTATTCCACCATCCATACAAACAAGCAAGATACTGCATTCTGACAGTGGCACCACCCTGCTGTCAGAATACACTGATCAACGACTAAAGCCACTGATCATTCAAACATTTTCTGGCATGTGCCAGGAACAGGTGAAGCCACACGCTCATCAAAAGTTGTCCAGTCCCTGCTGGGCCGGACAAATGTTGATCCTTGTATGGGCAGCTTTAAAGTGTTACTAAACCTACAGTGTAACAAGAATGCTTTACTGCATATGCAGACTGATTGTACTGTTTATACTCCTAAAGGGTTAATCTTCCACATTGTATAAAAAGGCTGTTTGGTCTTTTTTTTTTTTTTTTTTTTTTTTTTTTTTTTAAATCCTCCCCCTTTCTTTTACTGTCCCCAATCAATCTGCAATACTACAGAGCAGCATTGGCAAGTCTGAGCATGCTCTGTTTGGTGTGTATTGCTACACAGTGTTTTTTTAATTTTTTCTTTGGGTGGGGGGGGGGGGGGGTGCATTTGATCAGCACAGGGCCAATCAGCACTGTCTGGACAGAGGTTCAGGGGTCATGCAGCCTCATAGAACACAGAGGAATGAAAACTACTCCTACAAGGTTGACCAGTGCTTGGCTGGACACTGATAGAGAAGTCACAAGAATGCTATATGCTGCTGATTTCCATGTTCTGTGTACTGTGGAGGACCAGATATAGTAAACGCAGGGTCCTGGGTTTAGTAACTCTAAGCACAGTGGGGTGGCCCTGTCTGCCCCTGCTTTATTAGTTAAGGAAGCCTTCTGGAAAATTTTTGAGCAGTCAGCAGCGGCTATATCCAATTAGCTGCAGCTGCTGTTTTGGTGTTGCGATAGCCAGCAGGGCTGGTGGTCAAATAAAAATAGCCGCAGAAGGAAATTTTTATAGTGTGGATGGAGGAATCTTCAAGCTGAATGGAAAAAAAATTCTCGTTATATAGCTAGCTTTACAGTGTATGGCCAGTCTTAGCATTTGTCTACACCCCTGTCACTGTCACTCTTCCTAGACAGCTTGGTCTGCTCCAAGTGTGGGAACAAAATTACAAATCTCTGTTAAATAAACTTAAAGAATTTAATATTCTCAAGACATTCATTAACCACAAACAATAATTCTAAGATGATACCTTGGCAACACCATCCTTTAAATTCCCTAGTAGCCTCTGGTTTGTAAGAACTTAGAGACTGTAGTAAGACCACATAATATAGACGTGAAGGAGGGAGAAGAGGGAACTGAAGAGAATGTAACTGAAAATGTGTCTCTTACCTTCCCCTTCGAATATTCCTTGCCAAGTAAAAAGAGAAGAATGTATGTGTTACATTCTAAAATCAGACAATAGAAATTGCAACCTTTACAAAATCACTATATAAAACAATATTTTAGAACACATTCAAAATGAGGAAGTTTACCATGAACATAGAGCGAAGGATGGTGGAGAAGATAGAGGCTGTAGTGGGCTCCTCCAGAAGTGGGGGCTTATTCACATGGGCGCAGAGAGCCATACACCTTGAGTGTATTTCTGTTCCTGGGAGATACAGATGTTTGCATTCAGCTGCCTGTACAAATCAATGACAGGCTGAGACTGGACGCTGGTGACCACAAGAGCAAGCTGTCTGAGTTCAGGGGCGGACATACATCCCTGTACACAACTAGGTGCTCAGATGTGCAGTTACCAGCATACAATCACAGCCTGTCCTTGATTTGTCCCTATCTTCTTTCATAGTGTAGGATGGCTGTCTGCGTCCTGCGTCCACAGTATAGAACTGTGTTTTTTTTTTGTTAAGTATTTTTTAAAAGAAGCAAACTTTCGATTTGGGTTTACATCTGCTTACTGTGACAAACAACAGTGTGTCACAGTAAGTACATGTAAACCCAAATCAAATGTTTTTTTTTTTTTTGTTGTAAAGTATTTTTTTAAAGAAACACCATATTTTAGCACAGTTATATAGTTTGATGCATCTCAGTGCCACTGTTTTCCTGTCGGTGATGGTTGCATGGCAGTTCTCATTGGGGGGTTTCCTGATTGTGACAACAGGGGACCATGCCTGCATAAATGTGTTGGCACAGCCTCTTGTAGTCTCCATTGGGAGAGTATGAAACATGGTGACAACACAGGAGGACAATTGGGAGACAGGGAATTGTCACCTAGAACAGGGAGTGCCTGAACAATGGTAGCATTACTAGGTGTTATTTTTTATTGAAAATACATTTTAGAAATGAATTTAACATGTTCAAGCTCGTGTCAGAGTTTAGGGATTGGGTTGGTAAAAACCTTTCGGCTTGAGTAATTTGTACCTCCTGTCTGCCTGTTACCAGGACAGTGCTGGCAGGTTACCCTCCAGGCGATTTAGATGCGACAGGGTCACTGCTAATCACCATCTCAGAACATTGCTGTATCATCAGAATTTTCAGACATTGCACAGCAGCTGTACACTAAAGGCATGTGATGCAACCTATCTAATATGACTGCTGGTGATCTGGCATGGACCCTACCGCCTCATGATGTAGGGAAAGGGATGGGAGAGCTTGGAGCCAAGGAAAAAAGTAGGGGTGTTTACACAGCATAGAAAACGGTGAGGACTTCAGCCACATAAAGCTTCAATGCTGCACTGGGGAGGTGTTTGGTGGCGCAGGGAGACTAATGGTAGATGAGTCTTTTTATTGGCCAATTTGGTGTGCTCTGTGCTGCTACTAGACATATAGTCTGTTAATGGGGGTTTTATATGTCAGTTAATTTTAAAAGACAAGGCGTTTGTGAGAGAGCAGTGCTACAGAAGCTAATGGTGGCCACACATGCTTTGATAAATGATTTATTTCTATGCTGATTGATCTCTGTGTGTGTCGCAATCAATAATTCCTATGAGAAGAGAAGCTGATTTTGATTGATGGTTAAGATACGTTCTTAAGTTATCAATCGTAGCTCTGATTGCACCATGTGTCATCTCTCATATTCTGATCACTGAAATACAATTGTATGCATGAACAAAGTATCTCAGTGCTGCCGAGCAATGCAAAATGATCCATAATTTTCCTTCCTGGCGGGTTGACTCCTTTTATTTGAATCCAATCTAAAATCGATTGGAAGAGAACTTGAGGCTATTCATTGGGATGATAATACAATTGAAGCATGTTTGGCCGCCACTGGAGAAGCTGCCATGTTCCTTCCTGGTAATATCTGAAAAAGATAACCCATTTCCATAAACCTTGCACAGGCACAATCTACTGTAATGTTCAAATTGTTGTCCCAATATTAAAAAAAATGTAAGGCGGCAATAAGATGTGCCCCCCTAACCCCTCCCTAAAAAAAGAATACCTCACAGATTCCCAGAAATAAATACAAGTAGTCTCTGAGGGATAATAAACACTGGAATAGTTTTTGATCTTTCCCTGTAAATAGTCTGAGTTGGGGGTTTCTGTTTTTATGCTGGAGCCATGTAAAGACTAATAGTTGTGGATTGGGTGGGTATTGCTAGAGGAATATTTGCTGGTTGTTGTGGGGTTTTTTTCTTAGATTCTCCTCTTGGATCTCTAATGTATTCTTCATTCATGCATTTGGGGGGAAATGGTTTTCAATCCCATGTATTGTCTAGGGTGAATGGTTATAAAATTATATAATGGCACGCGCATATATATATATATATAATATATACATACACACACACACACAGTATATAATATATCTCCTATTCTGGGTTAAGTAGAGATCAGATGATTGTGAGATGTTTCAGCTCCCGACACCATCATTTGGAGTCTGACACACCAAATGTACAGTACGCAGGTGATTTTAACCTCTTAAAATTGGACAATGTACTGTAAAGTAGGGTGTATATCTGTCATGCTTGGTCAAAGGGTTAATCAATGGTCTTGAGGGAGGTGATAATAGAGAACGTTAAACCGAGCTGAGCTATAGTTGTAGACTGAATAACAAATGTCTTGGATTTGTATACAGGAATCTTAATTGCATATATGTATCTGGATCATTAGTTTTGGCATCGTTACTTCTTGATGTGGGATGGTTCTGATTAGAGATGCTTACTGTGGAACTTGGCCTTGTATGTTTTTAAAGGGCGATATTTTGGCATAGGAAATAGGTTCATTTGACATTGGGCGTACGGTCAAGATTTATGGAGTTAAGTAAACTCCTGGGCAATATAAAGTGTTCTGTTTAACAGAGCTGGCACCTCCAGGTTTTAGACAAGCCCAGAACCACCCAAAAAGCAGCAATGTCTTCTGATATATAAACAGCAATTACCTTTTATTCCTTGCTATTCTTCACTGGAAAGCTAAGTATTGCTGCTTATTCTAACCCCCCTAGACAAAATGAGCAGTAAGGGGGGGGTGCGATTCTGCCAGTAACACCACTCATTGACTGGCGGGCTGACCAGGCCAAGCCCCTGCCTCATGATTAGCAGCCTGCCTTGTGTATTCCTTCATTTGGCTGTTGGACTACTTATCAGGTGGATTAGGCACCCCGAAAGCCAACTGAAAGAGCTCACTAGGAAGGCTGATGATGTTACTGTTAATTGAGAGGCTGTGGCTTGACCTTGTCTGCCCGTAATAGGAAGTGCTGTTGTTGGCAGGAGCTCAAAGGTAAAATGTTGCAATATAGAAATATAAAACAAATTTGCTTAGGTTTCACAGTATACAGTTTTCCTAATACCGAACATACTGAAAGATCGAGTTTGGGGATTACATCCAGGGTAGGCGTTATGTAATTGAAATGCAGTCTTAAAGATGCCGCACCTACCGCTGAACTACCAGGGGGTTCCTGGAGTTCCCTGAGTGCTGCAGAAAAGACCTGCAGGCACTGTGTGCACAATCACATCTGTTATTGCATTTCACTTACATTACAGCTTAATCACATCGAAGTCATATGATAGGTGTGATTTACGTCATGTTGTATCTTTAACTTACAAGGAACAGTAAAATCAGAATGCCACTTACTTGAATCCCCAGCCCGTCCCCCCCAGTACAATGGCAGCAATGAGCACAGCTCCTGCAATGGACCCAATGATGATGTTTGTGCCACTCGGACCTGCAGTAAACATGTACAAGTCATAAGGGTTATAAAGTAAATATATGGATGGTGTGCCAAGTGTAGTAAGACAGCCATTAGATTTCACTTGTACTCCAGTCTCTGCACATTACTTGCACTGATCGCAGGCGCTATACTTTATAAGCTCATGTGGGGAAAAATAATACATGCACATTTTGTTTCCTGCCAAAAAAGTACATTTCATTTTTTTTGCACTTAAAGATAAACTTGGCCTTTACGTAATGCACAGAGACTACTAAAAGTAATGTTTCAAAGCCCTCTATCTCACAATGAAAGCCATAGACATTAACGTGGAGACGTTAAAAGCTCCGCTTTAATGCTTTTTCCCCTGCTCCGCCTTAAGGATTGGCACCTTTGGGGAGCAGGTGCCCGAATTTGACAGGTACCCGCTCCAACTTCCGCTGCGATCACCTAGGTGATCGGAAGTGGAAGTTGTCGTGTCTGCCCCCCCCCCCCAGGTCTTCTGGATGTGACAGGTCCCAGAAGATGTTGACGGGGCCAGCACTTCTCTCGCATGCGCAGTGGGCACCCGGCTGTGAAGCTGGAAGCTGTCACAGCCGGGTGCCCACACTGAAGATGCCGGGGAGAGAAGGCGGCCGTGTGAAACCAGCCGTGGTGAGGACACCGCTGGACCGAGGGACAGGTAAGTTTCTGTATTTTAAAAGTCAGCAGCTACAGTCACATAATGTGCTGTGACTGATTTAACCACTTGCCCCCCAGAGGATTTACCCCCCCCCCCTTCCTGACCAGGCCATTTTTTGCGTTACGGCACTGCGTTATTTTAACTGACAGTTGCGTGGTCATGCAACGCTGCACCCAAATGAAATTTACATCCTTTTTTTTTTCCCCCACACATTGAGCTTTCTTTAGGTGGTATTTGATCACCTGTGAGTCTTTTTTTATAGTGCAAAAAAAAAGAAAATTTTGAGAAAAAAAAACTATTTTTGACTTTTTGCTTTTAAACATGTCCAGTAAAAAAATTTAAAAAAATCAAATTACATCATAAATTTAGGCCAAAATGTATTCTGCGACATGTCTTTGCAAAAAAAAAAAAAAAAAAAAATCCCAATACATGTAAATTAATTGGTTTACGTGAAAGTTATAGCGTTTACAAATGGCGGAATATATACTGGAATTCTCTCTTTTTTTTTTTTTACTAATGGCAGCGATCAGCAACTTATAGTGGGACTGCAGCGGACATTCTGACACTGGGGGTAACGGACTTGGGAAAAAAAAAAGCACTGACACTGTACTAATGGCATTGGGCAGGAAGGGGTTAACATGAGGGGTAATCAAAGGGTTAACTGGGTGCTGTGAGTGTTTTACTAGGGAACCCTGTCAGTGGGCTTCACTGTAAGAACACTGCTCTGGATGGCTGTGCTGTGCACAGCCATCCAGAATAGTGTGCCCAAGCTGATAGGAAGGAGGACTGTTAGTAAACAAAGCAGTCCTCCTCCCTACCAGAGATGCTCGGTAATCACCGGCCGGGACCCGGAGATTGACGGCTGTGAATGGCGGTGCGGGTAGGGAGCGCGCCCCCTACCCGGAAATACAAAATCACGTGATTTTGCACACCCCTGCCACTCTGCAGCAGTGTATCTGCTATACGGCGGTCAGGAAGTGGTTAAAGTATATTAAAATTACATAAATAGTGCAGCGCTCAAAAACTAACCTATATACACAAATAACTGTGCTCACATGCAATGGTGACACACATATAGTGAAATAACCTAAATAACAAGTGCCACTTAATGATGATCTAAGGTGTCCACATAATCATAAAAATATATGAAAAACGCATATATATAAACAACGTGTAAGAGCGCATAAATATCAAACGCATAAATATGAAAAACACATATATAGAAAAAATCTTAACTAAAAGATAATTTTTTAAATAATTTATAAAGTGCTCCAAGTGTGGTGATATAACCACATTCAATCAAATTTATCTTCAAAAAATCAAACAAAAAAATTGTCCATAAAAAATAGTGGCAAACACATGCAAAGTGAAAAAGGTGCCAAAAAAAAAAAAAAAAAAAAAATGCTAGAAATTGTGCAAAACAAATGTGTCCTTGTTCCACAGCAGTGCAATTCTTCCCCTCCTACGGCTAAATTGCCTCCTCACCTCCTTACGTCGACCCCTAAGGGCCACACAGCATTCAGGATCTCTCTGGATCCTTATCTCCTGGAGATCAGCCCTTCTCCTGCCGTCCTGGATCACTTTGAGGGTATTTCCATTACCCCCACTTAGAAGCTTCTATAGGATAATTACTCACCATCCTACTAAGATGATAGGCTCATTCTACCAGTTGGACTGATTTTCTAAAGATCTTGAGAACAAACGACAATATAGTCAAGGCACATCATAGAAGAACAGCTGGATCAACACCGCGCTGAGTAACAGTCCACAATAGGGAGTTTAGACATCCAAAAGGCTGACGCGTTTCGAGGACTTGCCTCTTCCTCAGAGCTTCCATAGGCTCTGAGGAAGAGGCAAGTCCTCGAAACGCGTCAGCCTTTTGGATGTCTAAACTCCCTATTGTGGACTGTTACTCAGCGCGGGTGTTGATCCAGCTGTTCTTCTATGATGTGCCTTGACTATATTGTCGTTTGTTCTCAAGATCTTTAGAAAATCAGTCCAACTGGTAGAATGAGCCTATCATCTTAGTAGGATGGTGAGTAATTATCCTATAGAAGCTTCTAAGTGGGGGTAATGGAAATACCCTCAAAGTGATCCAGGACGGCAGGAGAAGGGCTGATCTCCAGGAGATAAGGATCCAGAGAGATCCTGAATGCTGTGTGGCCCTTAGGGGTCGACGTAAGGAGGTGAGGAGGCAATTTAGCCGTAGGAGGGGAAGAATTGCACTGCTGTGGAACAAGGACACATTTGTTTTGCACAATTTCTAGCATTTTTTTTTTTTTTTTGGCACCTTTTTCACTTTGCATGTGTTTGCCACTATTTTTTATGGACAATTTTTTTTTGTTTGATTTTTTGAAGATAAATTTGATTGAATGTGGTTATATCACCACACTTGGAGCACTTTATAAATTATTTTAAAAATTATCTTTTAGTTAAGATTTTTTCTATATATGTGTTTTTCATATTATGCGTTTGATATTTATGCGCTCTTACACGTTGTTTATATATATGCGTTTTTCATATATTTTTATGATTATGTGGACACCTTAGATCATCATTAAGTGGCACTTGTTATTTAGGTTATTTCACTATATGTGTGTCACCATTGCATGTGAGCACAGTTATTTGTGTATATAGGTTAGTTTTTGAGCGCTGCACTATTTATGTAATTTTGGTATTCTCACTGTTTGGGTAACAGATTAAGTGTTGGCAGCTTACAGTAGGGCTATTTCCCTTTTGCGCAGGAGGATCTTTGTTTATATTCCAATGGTTAAAGTATATTGCCATTTATAAATGAATATAAACACAATACTGAGAGCATAAAGAGAAGGAGGAAATCCTAGCAGGATATGTAACAGATCAATCAGCTTGTCATGTGAAAATAGAGCCAAACATGTACCCTTATATTTCTCCGACATCCCGGTGACTTTAGGAACAGGAAGAGGATCAAATACACTGCAGTCCTTCCCAGTCCAGTCTAAGTCACAGATGCATTTCCCCTCATTACTACAAACCTGCAAACAGAAAAAAAAGACCTTGTAAATTGTGACTAACAACAAAGCATAGGGATCATGAGAGAATGTATAGGTGTGAAAGAGGAGTATTCAGGCATGAACCGAGTTCTACAGATGACATTTTTTAGCCTGATAAGAGTAACATAAAACATTCTGACACTGGGAGGGAACTGACTAACTGCCACTGACATCCCCAGGGACACCAATACAATGATCAGTGCTAATAAAAAGCACGGACACTGTACTAATGGCACTGGGCAGGAAGGGGTTAACATCTGGGGTGATCAAAGGGTTAACTGAGTGCTGATTCACTGTGTGCTGTATGTTTTACACTGTAAGCACACTGCTTTGTATGGCTGTGCTATGCAGAACCACACAAAGCAGTATACAGGAGCTGACGGGAGAGATCTGTATTGTTTACATACAGGTCCCTCCCTCATCGGAGATACTTGGTGATCACCAGGTGCCAGCGAATGGGTGCTGGGACCTGGTGATTGATAGCTCTGTTTGCCTTATGCACTTTTTCTACTCAGCATAGGCAGATGAAATACGGTTCCAGCTTACAAAAATAGAACTTCACATAACATGTTTTTATTTTAATACACTGTAATGTTAAAGTGGCGGCACAGTGGCTTAGTGGTTAGCACATCTGCCTCGCAGTAAATGGGTCATCGGTTCAATTCCCAACCATGGCGCCTCCTGCATGGGTGTTTGCATGTTCTCGCTGTGCTTGCGTGGGTTTCCTCCACGTACTTCGGTTTCCTCCCACACTCCAAAGACATGCTGGTAGTTGGCTCCTATCTAAATTGTCCTAGTTTCATCCCTGGCCATGTGGGATCTCCTGCATGGTAGGGGTTGGGGAAAGACCTGGCAACCTACTCTGTAAAATAATTGCTAAGAGAATTCATGGAAAAAGTCGCTTACGAGTGACAGTCCATGCAATCGCCAAGGGTCGGATACGACTGAATGGATCGATAGATAGAATGTTAAAGCACAAAAGCAAAACTTTCTGGAGAGGGATTAGAATGCCTGTCAGTTTTTATTGCTGTCTGTGCCCCAGTTAGGGAGATTCACCCTCCTTATTTGTCCTGTTTACCATTACCAGTGAAAGTAAAAGAATATTGGAAAACTTTGGGTTGTCCCCATAAAACTAATAGCGGTGAAATCTTCCAATGGGGACACTAGTTCTGGTGACCTGGGGGTCCTCAAGGAATTCCTTTTAACCACTTGAGCTCCTGAGGATTTACCCCCCTTAATGACCAGGCCTCTTTTTGCTACTCGGCGCTGCACTAATTCAACTGATAATTGCGCGGTCATGCAATGCTGCACCCAAACGAAATTTACGTCCTTTTTTCTTTTGGTGTAATTTGATCACCTGTGCGCTTTTTATTTTTCACGCTATAAACAAAAAAAGGCCAAAAATTTTGAAGAAAAAACAATATTTTTTATTTTTCAGCTATAAAAAAAATATATAGTAAACTCAAAGTTGGTTATAAATTTAGGCCAAAATGTATTCTGCTCCATGTTTTTGGTAAAAAAAAATCCCAATAAGTGTATATTGATTGCTTTGTGTGGAAGTTATAGCGTCTACAAACTATGGTATAAATACTGCAATTTACGCCATTTTTCTGCTATACAGCGCTGCGCTAGTTTAACGGAAAATTGCGCGGTCATGCAATATGTTACATAAATGAAATTTACATCCTTTTTTTTTCCCCACAAATTGAGCTTTCTTTCGGTGGTATTTGATCGCCTGTGTGGTTTTTATTTTTTGCACTATAAAAAAAAAAAGGCTGACAATTTTGAGGAAAAAAATCATTTTGGACTTTTTGCTATAAAACATGTCCAGTAAAAAAAAAATGCAAAAATCAAATTTAGTCATAAATTTCTGCCAAAATGCATTCTGCGACATGTCTTTGCTAAAAAAAAAAAACCCAATACGTGTAAATTAATTGGTTACGTTTACGTGAAAGTTATAGCGTTTACAAATGGTGGAAAAGATACTGGGATTGTAGGGTTTTTTTTTATACTAATAATGGCGGCGATCAGCGAATTATGGCGGCGATCAGGGACTCATGGCAGCGACCAGCGACTTATGGCGGGACTGCGGCGGACATTTTGGGGATGTCAGTGACCCCAAGTCAGTACCCCCCAAACACTAATACAGTGATCAGTGCAAAAAAAAAAAACAAAAAACTGACACTGTACTAATGGCAATGGGGAGGAAGGGGTTAACTTTATTTTGCAGGGAAGGGTTATAGGAGTGAGGGGAGTGTTTTACTAGGGGGGGGGGGTGTGTGCTGGGCGGGACAAGGCTGATCGAGAAAGAAAAACTGTTCTTTCTTGATCAGCTCATCCTCGACTACTTCAGCTGTGCTGTCTGTCACTGATTGCCGCCGATAGCCAGGACATAGCTACTAAGGAGCGGCTGTGACCCGGCAACTGACATCTGCGGCAGAGAAAACCGCAGGACAAATAGGGCGGCGGCACGCCTCGCGCGCGCCCCCTATTTGTTTACAAAACACACGTCTTAAAACGTGGTTTTGCCTGTGAGTGCCGCCCTGCCACCGTATATGTATAGTGGCTGGGCGGCATGCGGTTAAAGCATGACTAAACCCACAACAGTAAAATCAGTCTGTATATGCAGTAAAGCATGCTTGTTATACTCACTGTGGAACCTAAGGGGTTAATCCTCTGCATTGTGTAAAAAGGCTGTTTGATCCTGTCTTCTCTGATCCTCCCCTTCTTTCAGTGTGCCCCTCTTATCTCCTGATGTGGAGTCACTCTGCACATGCTCAGCTTGGTGTGTATTTCTAGAGAGGGTTTTTTTTTTTTTTTTTTTATGGAGGATCAGCACAGGGCCAATCAGCACTGTCCAGACAGAGGTCAGGGGGTTCGGCATTTTCCTAGAGCAAAATGAAAACTCCTCCTACAAGCTTTAACCAGTGCTCTGCTGGACACTGATAGAAGTCACAAGACTGCTATATACTGCTCATGAGAAAGTATTTAGCAGTTTATATTTACTAAAATAATTGCATTTCCATATTCTGTGTACTGTAGGAGACCAGATATAGTGAATGCAGGGTCTGCGGTTTAGGAACACTTTATTTTGCAGAGATTTCCTCTCACTTCCTGTTTAGCTATGGGACAGGAAGTGAAGAGAAATCTCTGTAATGAGACACAGATGGCAAAAAAAAAAAATCTGACAGGTTATAACCCTCCCTTGCTCTATCCAAAAAGGGGAAAAAAACCAAAAGGTTTTGCCTTTAGTTCTACTTTATGGTTCTATTCACATGTACGCTTGTATCTGACAGCAGCTAAACGCCAGAAATTTACACCTGAAAAAGTTAAAATATTTCCTGCAGTTTGTAAATGTGTTTAGCTGCGTCAGCAGTTTGAGTTTTTTTTTATATCCCATTCTTGGAGGATGTTCTACACCAAGCACCTCTTCTTCCTCTTTAGTTTTCTGAACAGAGAGATACAGCCGTTCTATTGAAATGGCGTACAGAATAGAAGTGCGTCATTTCCTGCTGCTAAATGCATTGCAGCTGAACTCCGTGTGCGTATAGCTGCAGACGGATGACCCTGGCTGCAGCACTTTTCTTCTTTCCTACTGTCTGCAACTAAACATTGATAATCGTTGTGTGTGAATAACATGATTACTTTGCCAAAGGAGCTGGACTCCTACAATGCAAAGTCTTCTAAACTCTGCCACTCTAGACGTCCGTGTGAATGTTGCCTAATGGGGGGTCACACAATTTTGTTTTCTCCATGACACTTAGGAACTTACCCCATGGCTAGAGCACACCTCTCCGCTCCCACTGCTCGGACATGTGCTGAAGTTGAATACGGTTGCCGGTAGGCACTTCCGATCTAGGCACATCATGTTGGGTCCGCATGGTGTCCCATCCTCTACATAACCCAAACCTGAGCCATCTGGCAGCATGACCTGACCTCCTCTGTAATACCAAAACGCAGCATATAATTAAGCAGGGAAATAAAGCACTAAAAAAAAAAAATCAATGCAAGTAAAACAAACTTAATCCATAAGGCTCAGTTCACACTGCCACGACTTGGGATCTGACTTGTGACTCCAAAATCCCATGTTAGTCAATGTGAGCGGTCTAAATTAGCACTACTGAAGTCGCTCCGACTTTAGAAAAGGTTCCTGTGCTGCTTCAAGGCAACTTCTATTCAACATGGGCCCATAGACTTTAGTGGAAGTCGCCTCCAAGTCGGATCCTCATCTACATTGATGTGATTTGGATCCGACATTACAGGAAGATTGCCCAAGCATTCCCTAAAGGTCGCATCAAAGTAGTACTCAAGTCACCTGGCAAAGTCGCACTGTAAGTCACGTGCCGATCAGGCCATAGTAGTGTGAACCGAGACTCAACCTCACATTTTTGTGTTGGCTGCCATTTTAGGCAAAACTATTCATCTACAGGAGACCTAAACAAGACGTCTGTTGTATGGAGAATAGTTGTAACACGTGTATCTCCAACTACATCACTGCTGACAAATGATATATGTGCTGGTTTTTAATCCAGAGGGAGCTGAAATTATATTGAAAGTGCTACTTTTCCTGTAAAAGGGACACTCCTACACCCCTCCATTGGTCACCATGGCCATCTATTACTAAAACAAACCAAAAGGCTCAGGAGATGACAAGCTTGGCTTTCACAAGAAAAGATGTCAGGATTTGCGGATATCTTCAGCTGTTTTGACACGTAGTTGTAAGCGAATATAATCTCTGTTTATGTATTTTTTAATCACATGCTCCTCGTAAAACGTCCAGTCTTGTGGCAGGTGCACTTTAATGCATTATCTCCTATGGGGTTTACTAATCACAGGATTGCAGATTTAAATAACTCATCACAGCAGTCCTAATAATATGAAGAGGGAACTTCCTCCAGCCCTATCACTACCTATACTCTACTTCCTGAGCTCCACCTAAACTAGGACCTGATGACTTGTTTCCTGACCTTCATCCACCCTTCTGTTTCCTGAGATATCAGCAATTAGGTTTGTCATGTGTGTTCAGTATGGCCGCACCGGCAGACCCCCTACAATTTTTAGACAAGTATTTACTTTTGGAACGGTCATGGAAGCAAAGTAATCCAAAATCTCAGCCTTTGTCCTACCTGCAGTCCAGATACCGACTATGGTAGTAGAAGCTCATACTGGTGATGTCACCGTACAGCTCTCCGATCTTTGGGCTTCCGGAGATGTTGGAGCATAAGAGGTAGCCGCACAGCACATCTCTAGTAAACAAACAACACATGGAAGGGTCACCTGGTGTTTTAGAGACAAACGGGGACATCTAAATATGGCCGCGGAAGAGTAGCAACCCACATCAGCCAGTCAGAAGTGATGTGTGATTCTTACTGCAGCAGGACGATGCTAGAATTAATGTACTACCACAACCCTATTACTGGGAGGCTACAACCTGTTTTACGTTTTGGATATACAAAATATTACTTTTAGTTTTAGACCGTAGATGAGTGTTTAAGGGCTCATTCACACTTGGCTGTTTTACCAACGCTTGCCAAAACGCCCCTATAGCGTTTGGCAAGCGTTGGTCCGGCGTTTGCGGAGCATTTTTTTAATGCTCGGCAAACGCCACATGCACGGTTTAGCGGTGGTTGCCGAGCGTTAATAACGCCCCACAAACACCTATAATGCAGTTTGAGTGGTGTCACTGCTCCGCAAACGCCAGCCGGGCGTTTGCGGAGCGGCACCATAGACGAGAATAGGAGGCTTCAAAGCCTCCTGACTCGACCAGAGGCGTTCGTTTTGCCGCGAAGCAAACGCTCCCGTTAGAACAGCACCATGTGCTGTAATGCGCAGAATTGGCAGAGGTATTTGGGAAGCGGTAAAAACACTTCCCAAACGCCTCTCTGCCACCTGCACACAACGCTAGTGTGAACGTAGCCTAAAACCTGGTCAGGCCTTTACTGCGTGCTCTGCAGTTGGAGATTTCTTTCCACTTCCTCTACCATGGTCACCAGCGCAGGAAGTGAAAAGGGAATTTTGCGAACAGAGATGCAAGCAGTGTTAGGTTTTGAGGTTTGCTGTATAGGTTATAAAAACATGATCTGTGTATAATCTGAATATAAAATGAAAAAGATGTGCTACAATGCACCTCCCCCACTAAGGTGTGATCACTAGGTACGATCCTTCAATAATTGTGTGTCAAATATATAAACTTACATATGATTTATTATTGAATAGTGTATGTAATTTTGTCATAGGGCTACAAACCACCTCCCACACATGAATCCTTAATATACATAAATGATGAGAATAATGGAATATATCATAAACCAATAAATACTGTGAAGTCCAGAGAACTCTGTGCTGAAAAATATGTCTGCTGGGACTAGAATATCCCTTCCACACCAATTAGGATCTATATGCAGATATCTTAGTGGGTGTTGAACTTAAGTCTGTGTGACCAGACAGGTGAACCCCCTCGTGCTCCCCTCCACAATCATTGCAATTATTTGACCCCTTATGATAAGCAGGTCAAAAACCGCTCGGGGTGAAGCTCTCGTCCCCTTAGATTCACAGTATCATGCAGGCAGAAGTATGTTAGTATAGTTTTCTAAAATATTGATGACGGGGAACTCTAAGGCAGGCCATAGATCAGGGTTTTGAATTAAAATTCACTGGGGTCCAGTTAGTACATATTTTTTTTTTCCAGCCAAGGTCTCAGATCCTTCACATCACAGGCTCCCGTTCCCCGTGCCCCCCCCCCCAGTCACAGATCCCTCATCACAGGCCCGTCTATACAGACCCCCCTAATTATTACAGACTCCTCTACACATACCCCCCCCAATCACAGATCCCTCATCACAGACCCATCTACACAGAACCCCCCCCCCCCAATCACAGACCCCTATACACATACCCCCCCTAATCACAGACCTCTCATCACACACAGATCCCCGCCACAGACCTCTCATTGTGTGAGACCTGAGCTACACAAGCTTCTTCATTCTTTGTTTTCTTTGAATTTCTAGCAAATCTAAAGTAAAAAGTTATGTAGATATAAATATCTGTTTGTACTTACTGTTTGCTGCATTGAATCCATTTATCTCCGTCTCTCCCACAGTTACCCTTCTCCGTCCCTTCAATGTTTAACTTTTCATAACAAAGCCGGTCAGACGCACCTGAAGCAGCGCAGGAAAAAGTATCAGGTCTCAGAACTCCTGTGTATTATTACCAGTTGAATCCTGGATACAAGTCTGGCTGCTCTCAGTTTATAGAAACCCTCTAATTCTGTTGGGTCTTGAACATATCAGACTTTTTATAAGCATGCCAACAACCTCTGGTAACATAAGTGATGACCCAACCTTGACACAATAGCTTATGCTGGAATTGGACAGCCCACCCAACCATTACAGAGGTTGTTTATTATTGGTTTTGGATGGACTACAGAACGGTAAAGACCCTGTTGTTCTTTTTGTTTTTTTTCTTGTCCCATCGATGAGTTTATCCTTAACTTGCTGTATATGTCTGTCCCAGCGAGCGAGTGAGAAGAGGAGATCCCTCCAAAAATAACCCTCTTAGAGGGCTGTCACTCCTATTGGAAGATCCCCTCACCCAGGGCGGTCTTAATGCATGGGCACCTCTGGGCACTGCCCAGGGGTCCCAGGTGTATGGGGGCCCCATAATCTTGCATTACATCATACTCACCAACTGTCCCGAATTTGCAGGAACAGTCACACTTTTTGCCGAGCTGTCCCTGGATGGCCCAGGTAACATACCAGAACCTGTACTTTTCCTTGTGATCCTAGTATTGTGCCTCCCTGACTTCCCCTGTACTGTACCCCCTTTACCCCCCCCCCCCATACTGTGCCCTTTGTGTTGATTAGTATTTGATTTATGGCATGTTGTGTTATTGTTTCAAATCAATTTTATTGCAAAAAAATTTAAAAAACAATATATATATTTAACCATTTGCCCTCTGGCCGAATGGCGGGCGGCAAATGTCATCAGCGTTCCGGGTGGATGCCATATGGCGTCCTCCCGCACCTGCGCAGATTGCGCTGCTGCAGAGTGGTGCAGCGGCGCGATCTGTCACCGGCGTGTACCTCGGACACGGCCGATCACGGTTCTGAAACTAATTTTTTTAATTTTTTAATTTTCCAAAAAATGACAAAAAAAATACAACTTCAAAAAACTCGCCATGCCTCTTATGAAGTACGTCGGACTGTCTACTCTGCAAAAAGGGGTCATTTGGGGGATATCTGTACTGTTCTGACATTCTTGGACCTCAAGAAATTACATTGGCTGTCAGGATTGATCAATATTCAGATCTATACCATAGTTTGTGAACTCTATCACTTTCCTACAAACTAAATAATACATCCTAATTTGGGTTATTTTCACCAAAGACATGTAGCAGAATACATCTCGGCCTAAATTTATGAAGAACAATTATTTATTTGCAAACTTTTATAACAGAAACAAAGAAAAACTTTTTTTTTTCAAAATTTTTGGTCTTTTTTTGTTAATTTGGCAAAAAATAAAAACCCCAGCGGTGATTAAATACCACCAAAAAAAGCTCTAGTTGTGTGAAGAAAATGATAAAATTTTAGTTTGGGTACAATGTTGTATGACCGCACAAAGTGTGAGAGCGCTGAAACCTGAAAACTGGCCTGGGCAGGAAGGTGTAAAATTGCCGGTATGGAAGAGCCTGGCAACAAGCATTGGAAGAAGGAAGCAGAAATGGCATACAATTCAAGACACCAAAAAGAACCTATATTTTTGGAGGAAAGGGGGGGGGGGGGTGTAGACTGCAGCCTGTGTAACCCGTGCCAAGAGCATGCTACTGCCTCTCCTGGTACAACAGACTGCCTATCCCCAAGGGTCACCTGCAGATGTAGATCCCCATAAATTCCTGTGTGTGTTTACATATGACAAGTAGGAGAAGTCATGAAAGGTCATACCCATGGATTGTCACAGCCATGCTTATGTCCCAAAAAAGTGTGAAGTGCAAGATTGAATTCTGTCGCACTCCACCCAAAACAGAGACCTGGGGTAAAGTTCCACATGTATGGTTCTGGTTAACCACGTGCCCTCTGGATGATTTGACACCCTTCCTGACCAGGCCATTTTTTGGTGCTGCGTTATTTTAACGGACAATTGCGCAGTCATGCAACACTGCACCCAAATGAAATTTACGTCCTATTTTTCCCCACAAATTGAGCTTTCTTTCTGTGGTATTTGATCGCCTTTTTGCGCTTTAAAAAAAAAAAAAAAAAAAAATATGTAAATTTTTGACTTTTTGCATTTAACCCTTGCCTACTGGGCACTTATACCCCCTTCCTGCCAAGGCCACTTTTCAGCTTTCAGCGCTGTTGCACTTTGACAATTGCACGGTCATGACCCATATAATATTTTTATAATTTTTTTTTTTTTTTTTTTACACAAATAGAGCTTTCTTTTGGTGGTATTTACTTGCCGCTGAGTGTTTTTATTTTTTGCGCTATATAAAAAAAAAAAAAAAAGTTTTTCTTTGTTTTCTATCATTAACTTTAGCAAACCGGTAATTTTTCTCCTTCACGGATGTGAGTGATGAGTTGGCACGATAGGTGGCACTGATGATGCTGCACTGATGATCGGTGCGATCCATCCTCTGACAATTTCCGGTTATCGGCAGTACTTTCCTCATGCTGTGACAGCATGAGGAAAGTGCAGCCAATAACAGACAACTGTATTTACCTGGTGATCTGCTGTGTCATTGGACACAGCTGATCATGTGGTAAAAAGGCTGCTGTGATTGGCCTTTTACCACATCACATGATCAGCTGTGTCCATAGGATACAGCTATCACGGAGATCGCATTCTAGGAGGTTGTCATATGACGCCCCCCCCAGAACTGGACAACTGCGCTGTAGCTATAATTCGGCTATAGCGCGGCTGGCAAGTGGTTAAACATGTCTAGTAGAAATTTTTTTTTCAAAAAATCAAACCATCATAAATTTAGGCCAAAATGTTTTCTGCTACATGTCTTTGCTAAAGAAAAAAAAAAAATTCCAATACGTGCAAATTAATTGGTTTACATGAATGTAATAGTGTTTACAAATGGAGGTATAGATACTGGGATTTTTAATTTTTTTTTTACTGGTAATGGTGGCGATCAGCGACTTATAGTGGGTCTATGGAGGGCATTCTGGCACTGGGGATATCAGTGACACCATGTCAATTCCCCCTCAGTGACACCAATATAGTGATCACTGCTAATAAAAAGCAGACACTGTACTAATGGCACTGGGCAGGAAGGGGTTAACATGTGAGGCAATCAAAGGGTTAACTGTGTGTTTTACTAGGAGCTGTGTGTGTGCTCTTCACTGTAAGCACACTGCATTGCATGGCTGGGACCCAGTGATGTACAGCACACCGCTGCTGCCCTGTAGCAGTAGATCTGCTATGGGGTGGCGCTAAAGAGGTTAATGATTTAAAACTTACTGCGTCCCCACACTGTATTGCACTGACGATCTCTGGTTTTACATCGGCCTCCGTAACATCGACCCTGTTGGACAAATATATTTTAAGACAAGTAAAAATGTGCATCCAAACTTATTTTTATTCTTTTACATTAATGTACAATGATGTGCATTCCCATTGTGCTGAAATAACTGACTAGAGCTACAAAGTGCAAGGAGATGTTGGAAAACTTCTGTAACATAAAGTCGAACTATAGACTTTGAAACATCTACCTGATCTTTCTAGGAATATCACCCATGGGCATACTGCAGTCCACACTTCCAGAGAGGAGGCGCTAGCCTGGCTGTGCAGGGTGCCTTCTTAGATCCCATATCCCAAAAAGGCTTCTTCAGCCCTAGTGATGATATCACGGGGGCAAAAAAAAGGTTTCTGTGCTTCAGGGACAAGGTAAACAAAATAACTTCTGCCCATAGAAACCGGACACTGACAAAACCTTTGCTGGGAATGCCCTCCCATAACCCCACAAACTCCTCGACATTTGGTAATGTTATTAGGTGATGGATCATTTCTTCTCTGGAGAAGTTTCTTCACCATTACACTTTAAATTTTCACATTCCCAGCAAAGCTTTTTCCAGCGTCCAATCTGAAGGTAGCCAGAAATAGACATGTATACATGGAAATAGCGGCGCCAGACCAAAAGATAAGAGTCCAAATTCATTTATTGGTATTGTGCTAAAAGACATCCCCTGAACCCAGTAAAGGACCTATTCAAGCCTATGTGTTGCGGTAACACAGGTTACTATTCATTTTGAATGGCACCCCCATACACCTAGCTAGCACACAAATGTGAACCAGCTGTGTGGTGTGGTAAAACAAAAAAAAATTGCTGCAGGTTAGAGAACCCTACATAATGGTACAAATAGGCTGCCCTATTGGCTCCACATTAACACATAAAATACCACCCAACAATAAGAGTAGAGGGATAGGACACAGTGGAAAGGTTCGACTAGCCAAACCTCATATCGAAGACTTTCCTTTCATTTGGTTGCTTAGACATTAAAGAAAAGTCCTGCATGACAACCATTTGCTATACAATATATCTCTACAGGATTTTCTAAACCCTTCCCAGTACCCCAGGCCAAAACCACTAGAGCCAGAGTTCTGCTTTAACATTATGGAAATACAAAGACAGCGGGTTATAACACATTGATAGCGTTGTCCATCACCTGCTCGCTGTCACAGAAGTATCCGTCCTGTTTGTGGAGATTGGGTGGGCACTGTGCAGACAAACATACAGAATGATGGTCAGTACAAATCTCAGAATGAATGAAATAATCTGAACAGAAACCTTGCTGTAGTTTCTAATGGCAAAACTGATTAGACCAATGAGATGAAACCTGTATGGAGAGAAATCTAGAGAAACAAGTGTGCGAATCAGAAGTCCTGACTGCACTCTGACCCACATGACAGCAATATACTGTATTTCTCTTGGTCCAGGTTTCCCTTCAACAGTTTGTCTCATTTTCTTTAAACAAGACAAACAAATATTTAGTTTCATCACTTCCTAGAGTAGCACTAAACTCATGAACAAAAATGTAATATATTGCAGTTTACCCGTCCTTACACGTGTGTTCTTTTTCAGGATACGAACATTTGCAGCAAGTACAGAAAATACCTGTTGGTCTTGCCAAAAATGCAGCTTCTTTGGCACTTCCTGCGAGCTGAACTGAAAGCAAAAATAATGTCATCTTTCTTCTGTAAAGTACTAATTTCCCCATCCTGCATACAATGGAGATAAAGCAGACATGTTTGAAGACCCAGCTGGAGTTGGCTGCCTTGGCTCAATCCATAGGTACAGTGCAGGAGTGAGAGTGGCCCCCTTAGGACAAAACGTGTGTTATCAGAAGGTGAAAATAAGGGAACAAAAAACTAATGCAGCTACCACTTCTAAGGACTAGTAAGCTGCAATACATACATAATGCTTTTTTTGGTTTAGATGTGCTTTAAAATGAAACGTCCTGGGATAAAGCCACACAGTGTCTGCTGTTATTGCTACTAGCCAGTAAAAAAGAAAAAACTGTGTCCTTGGTGTCACGTTGTTGCTTGACTCCCTTGACTTTGGGGACTAATTCATACTCCGATGCTCCAATCTTTTACCAATGAGGGTGCCTCAGTGGCCCTTAGGTCACGCTTATTTGGAAGGGAGTAGAGGCAGGGCGTAACCTTGATGTCAGGGAAGCTGAGCCCATTGTAATAAACCAAAACTTGTTAAGAGGAGCTCACAGAAGAGCACTCTAAAATGCTCCACTTCTACATTGTGGTGTGATGAATGCACCAAATTCAAAATAAAATAGCAGTAGTTGGTCTTCAGTCTCTCCACTTTCATAAGATACAAACTCTCTTGTCGTACAGGGAGAAACTGGCATGAGCAGATTTTGCAAGTGTGTCTTGCCTGCATTCTACAAGTGGCACAGCATGAGCCGAATCCAGGTACAAGTTCTAGACAAGTACATGAATTTGGAGCATTCTGCACTACTTTTAGAATGCATAAGAGACACTTTACAAAATCTGTGCCAGTCTCCCTGAATTCCGGGGTATATCATTTTCTGGCTTAAAAGGTCAGTTACCAATAGATACAAAATGTATGTGATATATCCCACAAACGTGGACAGAACAGCTTAGCCATTCCTCCAGCTGCTGTCCTGGGGTGGAAAGACTAAACATCACCAGGGTTCATAGGACGACTCTTACCACACTGGAGTCTCCTGGACATGTTTCTTGCACATCGCATTCATTAACAGCCCCACGGCAGACGGTTCCTCGAGGCTCATACTGTGAACATGAACAAACAAATCACTAGTGATGTCATCATAACAGAAACTTTATAAACAGGTAATTAACAGTGAAGCACTGGGACAGTCCTGGAGTTCTGCAAGACTCAAGGCCTCCTGATTGAAGGAGGAGCGAATAGATGTGAATGTGGATGCAATGAATGTACACATAGCGCTTGGAGTAGACAAAATGTAAAATGTCAAGGATAAATAGTATTACTACATGACAGATTAATTGTAAACCCGAAGTCTGTATATTAATATACTGTACACAGGTCAGCACCTGAGTGTGGATGATGTCCTTTCACCTTTACACCCCCCCCCCCCCCCCCAAATCTATGTCATCTTACTACCTCATGTTCCATGGCATTAAAAGCAGTTGTAGCGCTCCTTCCATGTATTCCCTTGGGCCAGTGCCAATTGGCATATTGCTCATGGCTGAGGCAGAATAAAGGAAATTCCTCTTATGCAGGCATGTGATAACAGGGTATGTAAGCCAACATTACTACTACTGTACATAAAATGTAAAATGGCAGCCAGCATGACCCATATCTCTGAATGAATTCTTACATGCTGGTAATATTTAGCAACCCTGCAACTGGTCACAGCTATAACCTGTACACCCTCCTTACCCGACATCGGCGACAACACAGACCATCGCTACACATGGCGTCATGGCTGAGGGTACACTTCTTGCAGCAGTTTCCAGCTCCAGTCCTGTTACATTCCTGTAATCCACAATACAGACAGAAGTCATGGATACACAGCTAAAGTACTTTCAACTAAACAAAAGCTACTGCCAGAGACGTTCCAGCAGGAGCCAAAGCTAGCAGGTGTTATACCCATGAATCTTCTTCATAGCCCTCCTCCTAACATACTGTCCAGTACAGCATTACCTTTTCCCTTCCAGCCTTCCCTGGATAAGTTGAAGCTGCATTTCAGTCAATGGATGTGGTCATCACAGGCAAAGAGGAACTGCTGTGGATGCATTTTGTGTTTTACCTGGCTTCACCTGGATTAGACAAAGTAAAGGTCCACTCGATAGCAGACCCCACAAAGTGTGAATGGTTACTCATCCTATGCTCTCCTGCTGCCCCAGCCCATTACAGCAGCACCTGCCCAGTCTGTGCACCCTCCCTAGGCAGCAATTTGGTCTGATTATTGACCAGGCCAAAGGAGCTGAGCACTGCAGAAAGCATGGGTGAGTGGCTTTCTCCATCCCTGGAAGTAGCTGAGGCAGAAGAGTGTGGCCCCTAGTATGTGTATTTTTTTTACACACACTCTCTAAAAGGAACACTTTGAAAACCCATCGGATTTCAATAGGGAAAAATATGCTGGAAATCTATACTGATATGGACTGGGTTATGTGTTAGGAACGTAAGGATGCCCCAACATTTGTAGGTTGATAATTTTCATTTCCATTAGAGGACTGAATTCAAAGACACCCCAAAAATCAAAGTGAAAAAATTATCCAGCAGACTAGTCCATTTTGCTGAAATCTCATTGCAGCAACTCAAAATGGTCCTCAGTAGTTTGTATGGCCCCCACGTGCTTGTATTCATGCCTGACAACATCAGGGCATGCTCCTAATGAGACAACGGATGGTGTCCTGGGGTATTTCCTCCCAGATCTGGACCAGGGCATCACTTAGCTCCTGGGCAGTCTGAGGTGCAACCTGGCGGTGTCAGATGGACCAAAACCTGATTATCCCAGAGGTGTTCTATTGGATTTAGGTCAGGCGAGTGTGGGGGACCATTCAATGGTATCAATTCCTTCATCCTCCAGGAACTGCCTGCATACTCTCGCCACGTGAGGCCGGCCATTGTTGTGCACCAGGAGGAACCCAGGACCCACTGCACCAGCATAGGGTCTGACAGTGGGTCCAAGGATTTCATCTCGATACCTAATGGCAGTCAGAGTGCCATTGTCTAGCCTGTAGTGGTGTGTGTGTTCCTCCATGGATATGCCTCCCCAGATCATCACTGACCCACCACCAAAATGGTCATGCTGATCGATGTTACAGGCAGCATAATGTTCTCCACGGCTTCTCCAGACCCTTTCACGTCTGTCACATGCTCAGGGTGAACCTGCTCTCATCTGTGAAAAGCACAGGGTGCCAGTGGTGGTCCTGCCAATTCTGCTGTTCAATGGCAAATGCCAATTGAGCTCTATGGGGCCAGGCAGTGAGCCTGGGGCCCACTAGAGGACATCGGGCCCTCAGGCCACCCTCATGAAGACTGTTTCTGATCGTTTGGTCAGAGACAATCACACCAGTGGCCTGCTGGAGGTCATTTTGTAGTGCTCTGGCAGTGCTCATCCTGTTCCACCTTGCATTAAGGAACAGATACCAGTCCTGCTGATGGGTTAAGGACCTTCTATGGCCCTGTCCAGCTCTCCTAGAGTAACTGCTTGTCTCCTGGAATCTCCTCCATGCTCTTGAGACTGTGCTGGTAGATACAGCAAACCTGGCTATAGCACGTATTGATGTGCCATCCTGGAGGAGTTGGACTGCTTGTGCAACCTCTGGCTAGGGTGAGTGTCACTACTGGTAGCACGAGGCGAATTTTGTTGTTACGCATATAATTTCCTCTTTTTCAATCTGGTTGTACTGAGATTTCTATAACGTGGACTAATTACAATTCTGAGCTGCATAGACAATAGCATTCATAAATGGAAGGGTGTAATAGGTGTCAGTGATGTACTCACAGCAGGAGAACCGCAGTCACATTCCTCCCCCACTTCTACAAATCCGTTCCCACAGGATGGAGGGTCCAGCAGCTGTGAGGGGAAATGGAACACTGTGATAATGGGAGTGGATGGCAGAATACATAACAATGGGACTAAAATAAAACAAACTATCTGTACTGCCCAGAGTAGCCAGCTGTCATCTTTGACGTTTAAAAGGTGACAGATGGAAACTTCACAGCTCTGATATATGGATGAATTGTATAAATACACATAATCACATGGACTTTGAGGCTTCGCTTGCATCTTACACACCTTTTTACCCTTGTCAAAAAATGTAATTCCACAAAGTGACCTCAACAGGGCCACTTTCCTCACTTTGACCTTGCTTCAGACTCCAGTGCTGGGGGTACCAATGGTCAGAATACTATAAAGATGATTAGTAAACTATAGTGTTACATCAATGTCAATGTTCCATATGGAATAAGAAAAGGTGTTGAAGGAAAGCAATCTGGAACAACCACACTTGCAGATATGTACTAGTGAACAGATTTCATTTTTTTTCAGTTTATACCCACTGCCTCCTCATAAACTGGCATTTCATATTGACCTGGTGGGTGGAAGGGGGGTGGAGGGAAGGCCAGTATAGGGGTGTGAGAAATTAGTTAGACCTAGTACTTTGCTTGTTAATTAGGACTTGGGACTTTGCATTGGACTAAGGCCATCAATGTTAGACCAGCACAGGTTTTTTTGTGGGTGGGTTTTGTGTCAGCATACACACACTGCTATGTGAACAGAAACACCACCACACTCCATGTCATTATAAATATATAACATTGCAGTCCTTTGCTTTGTACGATGCTCAATCAGCACCAGCCGTCAGGCTTGACAAGTCAGCACTCTACCTTAAGGGGTTTATTAAATAGGCACCTCCCTCCTCCATTTTGCAGAAACTGGCGGTATTCATCAGTACTGCAGCGGGAAAACTTCTTGGGGAGGTAGTACCTGTAATGAGAGAATAAAGTTAGGCAGAGACAAGAAGGAGAACATGAAGTCTGGACAAACAGAGTTAATGGCCTCCGCAAATTTATTAATTGATAAGCAAACTAGTTTGTAAGGACAACCGCTTTACATCCACTCCATTTTTTTTATACCTAAACTAATAATAAAAGGGTCATCCAAAACTGATATTTTCATTATATGTAGACACTGGTGAATGCCAGGTGCATACACATAAACACCCCTGAATCCATTTGTGTTTGTTGAAAGAATTCCCTGAAATGTGTTTTTGAAGACTTCCAGGGTAACTTCCACAACTACTTTCCTTAAAGCAAAACTCTTGCTAATGAAAAAAACAAAAACATACATATCAATTTACATCTTTGTTTATACAAAATTATTTAAAAAAAGATTGGAGTATAATAGAACAAATAAAGATGTATATTGATATGTATGTTTGTTATAGGCGTCATGCCTCTTTGAGCACCTCTGAGGAGGAGACGACGACTAGTCTCGAAACGCGTCGAGTGCAACACCTGCATGACCCATTTTCCACCATCAGTATTAAGTTATACATCCTTTGACAGTCACCGCCATAATCCATGTATTTCAATTTGTCATGTCTTTTTTAAGATTGTTTAAATAAAACTGAGTGTTCTGTTTTAATGGTTTATTTATTAGTTATTAACTTACAAGCCTGTGCCTTCAAAGTCCCACCAAGTAGAGGACCTTTCCCTCTTCTTTTGCCTCTCCAATGAACCACTAGTATCTAAAGAAAATCCCTCGTTTACATGTATTCCTGCCCTATTTGTGGGTATTTTTATTGTTGAGCAGTAGCAGTGCTTTGTTGCGCCCCACTGTCTCTTGCAGTAGGGCTGAGCCCGCATTGCGAGCCTCAACTGCTCATTTAGTCTAGGGGAGAGTTTTTGCACTTTAACAGATTCTCTACTCCCTGGCACATGGCGCTCCAGCAATGGATTGGCCCCCCGGTGTCATCACATCCAGTGCAGGGCTTTGGACACTGGTCTTAATGGTGTCAGGATATTCGACTACTGGAGCATGGAAGAGAGGATGCTGCAGGGAGCAGTCTAGTAGGGTGGTGAGTGGAGGATTAGATAAGTAAATAATCTTTTCTCTGTCCTCTAGACCTAAAAGAACAATTGACCCTTACAGTGCAGGCACAGCCCAATGGCAAGGGATCATGATTAAGCTTCCCATAGTTGGGCTCTCATGAACCCTCCTATTGGACACTAAAGGGCCCCTTACTATAGTGCTAGAACAAGAGTGAGGTGTGAAAGGGGTGGACCAGATCCCAACATTTTCTGCAAAAATCATAATCGGTTTAAAAAAAAATCCCTTGGAGTTTTGAGGCACCTGAGCTGCTCCTGCATTCACATAAAGGTCTCTGCAGGCCTGCTATTACTGCATTTAGAAAAGTTATTCTACTGACAGGTCCACTTTATGGGATGGAAAAACTTCATTATGCTAATTTCTACCATCAGATTTCCTTGCTAATGTAAGTCATAGTACACTTACCCAGTGTCCTCCATAATACAGCCCAGCCACTGATCCGGACAGCTGCACTCACCTGCAATGGAGAAGCCATGTTATCACTGCCCTGCCCACCAGCAGCAGAAACGTTAAATCCATGCCAAGGCCCGGACATCTGAGTGAGATCTTACCGGCAGCCATTCGGGGTTTATTGTACATCATGCCCAGGTTTTGTCCCAGAGTCTGTGCCAGTGTCACTGCCATGGCAGCAATGCTTCCATACTACAGAATGCAATAGGGACAAAGAAAAATCATTTCACGTGATTTCAAAATAAGATCTTTATAGGTTTTGTACGATATCTGCAGTTTCAGTTAAAAAAAAAAAAAAAAAAAAAAAAAAAACACACAACTGACTGCCAATACTGGCTCTTGATGCATGTCCCTCGCACCACTGGAAGATTACCGCTGCATGGGTATGAAGGAAGGGCAACAGACTTCAGATTTCAACTAAGAGAGCAGCCAGCAGCACAAGGGCCACCTTGCACTGAATGTTCTGTCCCTTGAGCGGACTTTTTTTTTCGTTTAAACTAAAATCTTAGGCTTTAACCTCTTGGTAAGAAGAATATAGGATGGGGCAGGTTTAACGGCCTTCCCAAACCCTAAAACCTCCATAAATTAAAAAAAAAAAAAAAAAATAGCAAGTCCGTCTCTATACTTCTCCAATATAGTATAAAAGTGACAAATACATTTTAGTCATAAAGAAAAAAAAAACAAAAAACGAACAGCATGTCCATAATATAAAATTGGTCCTGCCTAAACAAATGTTGCCATGGCAACAGACCGAATGCTCCACTGCTTCCCGATTGGTTGTTTCTTATGAGCAGAGAGACTTTCTATCAAATGTGGGTAAGAGAAACGTCGTAACGTTTGTACAGCGGAGATGGCACGGTTTTCAAGACACGACCTCTCTGGAAGCCCGATAGACCTGCAAACCCTTTCAGATTACTAAAAAGCATACAATTAAATGAACAAAAGAAAATCCTGGATATTTTGAAGCACAAGACTGCCAAATTGCCGCACATTAAATAAATCATATGCTGTATAAATGTTTAATAAAGCATATGAGATGTAATTGTTGTGCAGTGTGGTGGAACAAAGGGAAATCTGGAGCGGATAGTTAAAACTTGCTCCAGTCATCCGTGTAAAGCAGGTAACAGCTGGCAGAGCCTTTGTAAGCAAGTACCCAGATAAATGACATGTTCTTGCACATACAGCACCATCTAGTGGTTACAAAGCTGCACAACAACTAGGCTCCCAACACTTGCGCCAAAATTATTATGATACAGGATTTATATAGCGCCAACAGTTTGCGCAGCGTTTTACAATATAAGGGACTCAGTACAATTACAATACAGTTCAGTACAGAAGGAATAGGAGGGCCCGGCTCATAGAGCTTACAATCTAAAGGAAGGGGGAGGTGATACAAAAGGTGATAGCTGCGGGGGATGATCTGGTGGAGGTGATTCAAGTACAGTTCTTAGGTGGAGGTGGGAAAGGCTTCCCTAAAGAAGTGGGTTTTCAAAGATCGCCTAAAGGCAGACAGGGTGGGGGCTGACCGGACATACTGTGGTAAGGAGTTCCAGAGGATGGGAGAGGCTCTAGAGAAGTCCTGGAGGTGAGCGTGGGAGGAGGTGATGAGGGAGCTAGAGAGGAGGATATCATGGGAGGAGCGGAGTGGGCGATTTGGGCGATATCTGCGGATGAGGTTGGTGATGTAGCTAGGGGCAGTGTTGTGGATGGCTTTGTATGTTGTAGTTGGTATTTTGAATTTTATACATTGGGTTAGTGGAAGCCAATGACAAGATTGGCAGAGAGGGGCAGCAGTTGCTAATCAGTTGGTAAGGTGTATGAGTCTAGCAGCAGCATTCATAATAGATTGAAGGGGGGATAACTTGTGTAACGGTAGACCAATGAGGAGGGAGTTGCAGTAATCGAGGCGGGATATAACTAAGGCATGGATAAGTTGTTTTGTGGTGTCATTGGCCAGGAAGGGGCGGATTTTGGAAATGTTCCGGAGCTGGAGGCGGCAGGATTTAGCCAGTGAGTGGATGTGGGGCCCAAAGGAGAGGTCAGAGTCTAGGATCACACCTAGCACCCTGGCATGAGGGGAAGGATCAATGGTAGTGCTGTTGATCTTAATGGTAAGTCATCAGTGGGGGATCGGGGGGGAGGAAATATTACAAGCTCAGTTTTTGAAAGATTGAGTTTGAGGTAGTGGTGTGACAGCCATGCTGATATGTCGCTTATAAGGCCTCATGTACACTGCTGCTCCCAAACAGACGTTTTTGGGGCTTGTGGAGTTTTTTTTTGCCAAAGCACCTGAACACACCTCAATACAAGTCTATGTGCCCATGCACAATTAGGGGGTTATTTACTAAAACTGGAGAGTGCAAAATCTCGTGCAGCTCTCTGCATAGAAACCAATCAGCTTCCAGGTTTTATTGCCAAAGCTTAATAGAACAAGCTGAGGTTAGAAGCTGATTGGCTGCCGTGCATGGCTTATACCAGAGTTTAGAGGCAGTAAAATGCTCCTCTCCTGAATGCAGGAGATTCATGTTCAGAAGAGTTTTAGCAGAAAAATGCTTGACATGTAAAAAATGTGTGTAAACGTGTTAACGTGAGGCACATTTAGCGATTGAGCATTCATTTATTTCGATGTCCAGAATAAAATGATTATCGTGGCTGGTTAGCCAAAATGAACGGCCAAGTGCTTGACGTGGCTTCATGCAGTACAAGCGTTCACAAGCATTTTGCTGCTGCCAGGGGAAAGGCATCCAGGGAGTTGGTTAAGAGTGCCCAGTATGCATGAACCCTAAGGCACCTTTCTGGTCAATGAATAAGAAACCTCAGCTACCTCATGTGAGCTAAAGCCTTGGCAAAGATGACATTGAGGGCTTTATTTACTAAAACAGTCTCTTATGATATGAAAGGTGTACAGCACTGCTGGTAGTCATACAGGGGGTTATTTACTAAACCTGGAGACTGAAAAATCAGGCTCATCTCTGCATAAACACCAATCAGCTTCTAACCTCAGCTTGTTCAGTTAAGCTTCGGCAATAAAATTTGGAAGCTGATTGGTGTTTATGCAGAGAGCCTGATTTTGCACTCTCCAGGTTTAGTAAATAACCCCTTGTATGACTACCAGCAGTGCTGTAGACCTTTCATATCATAAGAGACTGTTTTTAGACAGATAAACCCTGAGCAGTAGGGACTGGGTGTGCAAGCTGAAAAGGCTTCATTGGTATCACACTACTCAGCCCTCTGGGTCCTGTTCAACTTTAGTAGGCCAATACACACTTTGATCAACAGAAACAAGCTCTGATGAAGGGGGCCCTTTGAACCCCAAAACATGTTGGCTTTTTTCTGGTAAGAGTTTGCTCAAAAACCACACACATCAAGTCCAGATTTAATTTTTTTTCAAAGAGCCAACCTTCAGCCATTACTACTGGGACAGCGGCCCAAGAAGAATCATTCCCTCTGGACTGCTTATGGCCTGACTGAGGACACCTACTGCTTGAAGAGATCCACGCCCCACACCTTTCTTCTAGGCTCCTGTCTAGTAGACACAGTGTGAGACAGGACAATCCCTAAGCCACAACCTCTGTGCGGCACTGCAGAGCACAAAGTATGTATTGAGCCAAGATGGCTGCCCTCGTGTATACATACAACTACAAGCTTTACATAGAAATAGGGCTTTTAAAATATGAACACGTGTCTAAAGCATTATTTATAGCAAGCTGATCTCGCCAACTGAGATACACCTGTGGAGACACCATCCCACCTCTAAAATGGGATTTTTTTTTTTTTATTCTTAAGCCTAATAGCTTGGGAATCCACTTGATTTGGTGAGTGTGGGTGAAAATTGATTTATCACAGATGATGTGAGCATGCTGGAAAATGTATATAATTTTTCATCACTTTGGAGCACCGGACTTTTATTTGGGACTTATTTGGACTTTTCGTTATTCATTTTTTAATTTATAAATTAATTTTTTTTGCGCTGTGTTTTATTATATTATTTTGATGTGTTTTCATCTTTTGAACAGCAGTGTTTATTAATGGTGGTTTATTTCTTTGGCGCAAGTTTTTTAAAAATTTCTTGATCTCTGTCAGAAAAAATATTGAGCTAAACCCGAGTGAAAGGCATGTCTGTGCTTCTGGGGGAGAGGGGCAGTAAAGTGAACCTGTTACTTAGCCCTGCCATGGACAACAACCAGGTTTAAAGACATTACCGTTCCTCTCTGAAATAGGTAACATGAAGTCAGCCTGCAGTCCTTTCATTTTAATTTCTCTCCTCTCAGCCTCCAGTCCCTCTCTCTGTACTACAAATAGATCATTTTATTCTTTTTGAACAGTTACATAAATTAGTGCGTAGCTACGTGATGAAATGAGAAGGTAGTGGAGCATGAACATGTGTCCAGTCAGCTTTGAATTAAACTGGACTAGGTACTGTAAAGGAAGAGCAGACGGGAAAATAAAGAACACTGACCTCTATCAATCCTCCAGCTTTGGTCGGAGAGCAGATTCCACCGAAATAGGCTGCCCCACTATGACTGCTTTTAAATGTGCGTCCTCTAAAAAGGCAAGAAAACAAGAATTACTGAAGAGTTGTGGGTGAGAATGAGGCCTGGCTGAAAGCAAGTTGGCATGTTAAGTTCATTTCTATACATTGGACAGGGATTGCTGCTTACTGGTGAAATCACTAAATACAAGAAACATTTCAGCTGCTTTTCCCACAATAGGAGAGCAGCTAATATGCAGTCCAGGACCACATACACCTCGATTTATTTTAATTAATTGTCAGAGGATTGAGGAATCACTTATGGGGATGAGCACGTATGCCTCTAGCAGCGTGAGGTTCTTTTTAATTTGTTTAAAAGCACGGTTTCTATAGGAAACAGTGGTGGACCAAAGTGCCATATGTGACGATCGCGGCATCAGACCCCAGCCCTTCTTACCAAACTTGTGACCGAAGGACTAGCCAATCGAAAACCGCGCTGTCACGTGCGTAACAATGCCACGCCCAGCTGCACCCTGCACAAAGATTTTCCAGCTAATGGACCACAATCTGTGTACTTGCAGCCTGGGAGCAATTGTTACTGGGTCAGGTAATTACGCAATTAACCCTTCACACTGCCACCACATCCTTTTTGTACAGAGAAAGAGTAAACTTGGCAATATCAGCAATAACACTCTGATGTTTGCATAAGCGTCGGTATACCACTGTCACCGCAGGCAGCGATATACCGAAGTTTAAAACACACACAGTAGCGCTCTTCAGAGGCAGGGGTTCTTAGTTTGCATTAAAGAGCTTTAGAAACAGGTCACTCAACAGAGAGGGAGGGTGGATATCGGAGGAATCTGATTTGGGAGAGAGAGACACAAGATGGAGGGGTTTGGAGCAAATGGATGACCGCGTCCATCTCTGTGTGCACGATTGCTACACCATCAGCGTCAAGCAAGGATCAGGTCATAATTGTAGGGCTGAAGTGAAAAGTTTTAGTATGAGCAGATATCTACCTACAGGTCATTCTCAGAGAGATACCGTATCTACCTTTCTGCAGCCACCCTGTCAGCCTCATTCAAGTCAGCAAAAGGAACACTAGTTCTGGATGTTTGCACTGCTACATCCTCCATCACAAATCAGCTTTTAAACAAGTGACAATAGGTGCCAATGTATCTCTTACACAATTGACAGTAGTTCTCATTTGACACCCTATTGTCCCCCCCCAAAAGATGAAAGAAGATATATATATTGGCAGTGGCAGACAGTTTCTCCTTATTTCTTTTCAGTTTGTAATTAGATTTGTTCATTGATGCGGATAATGTGTTTCCCCCATAAAGATGCGGATAATGTGTTTCCCCCATAAAGATGCGGATAATGTGTTTCCCCCATAAAGATGCGGATAATGTGTTTCCCCCATAAAGATGCGGATAATGTGTTTCCCCCATAAAGCGAACTTAGGGTGGAGATATCCCATGTAATCACATTGCAGACCATCACCATTCCAGGTAATCGGTGCGGAATGCCATAAAAGTAAACATAACAACAAAGCTGGTAATGTCGTTTACAATAAAGAAAACAATTATTGTGCATGATTTGCCTTTTACCCAAGATGTTTGTTAACTCTGATCTACATTAATGAGGCGCAGAGCGTTACAAAGAATCATTCTCTTTTTCACTTCTTTCTCCTAGTCACATTTTTACTTTGATATAACGAGATAGAAAGTATAGGAGGGAAATGCATTGTGGGACAAAGGACATATGACGATTGTGTGTGATGGGAAGTGAAAACAAATGACGCATTTATAGGCTAGAGGGCCCAGTGCTTTAGCACTGCTCCAAACCCGAGTGTTTTGCCTCCTGGCACTACTGATACTAGACAGGGCCGTGTTTACCACAAACGCCAGTGCCCCAGGAAACCCTATAGTACAAAGCTAAGAGTGTCTTTCTTGCTTTGACTTTTGGAAATGTAGTTATGAAAGGAGGAGGGGGTAAGGATGCTACTTAGAAGAGTCATAAGACTCCCTGTAGCATGCAGTCATCTCCGCTCTATTATCCCGCATATTATTTGGTATGTTGTACTGTTCAGTAAAAGCTCATTATTCGTTGCAGGCCACTTCCCATTGCCAACATACATTCTTGTTTGAAATTCTGTCATAATAAAGAGCTTTTATCTCCCCTTTGGATTGATCTGTAACCCTGTGTGGATTATGGTTTACTTATGCCTGTTTTATCCGCTACTCTTGTGAGTATATTTCCTAAATAAAATAAAATTATTCATTGTTTATCGAGGTAATGCACAAGGTTTGTGCGCTCTTTCTTTTATCCCCTTCTACAATAATAAATCACATAACGTGGTTTGTGTCAAAAAGAAGTAAAGCCTGTAGAATAGGGCTTCCCCTATCCTTGTGAGCAAGCCAGGAATAGTGAAACTCGTCAAGGAAGGTTGGTTCTGGGTTGGAGACATTGCTGCATGCAGTCAATAGGTTAAAAAAAATATTGCAAAAAGAGCTTAGTGGAGTTCGGCTGACATTCTTTCATATTTTCTGTAGAATAGCCTCTCATCGATCACTTGTGCCTAGGGCAGCATGCTGGCTAGCAGGAGCAGAGTATAAGAATGCAATGCGGGTAGCAGGCTGCAAGTAAAAGCCAGATGGTACATGCTGCAGACTAATTTCAGTGGTCAGAGAAGTACTGACAAATAGTATAAGAGGTCTAAGATGTGCCTCCTTTTTTGTAAGGCCAGTACTCTTCCCTTGGACGACTGTAAGAGGAGAGCACCAATGAAGATCCTCTTTACTCATGATAACAGACCTGAGAACGAATTTCTGATGGGGAAAAAAATCTTGGAGTGTGGGGTAGGGGACAAATCTCTGATTCAGAGGGAATGCAAACTCTAGGAGAGCAGAGAACTGAATCTATCACTGAGAATGGAAAAAAACAGATACATGTACCCTTCTACATGTACATATGAATCCTGCCCTACTGTAGTGTTCAGATTGAAGTACTGTATATAAATCTGAAAGGGTGCCATCTAGGGATCATTCATCCATGACAATGATCCCTAAGATCATTATGATAGATAATGGTGGCTTTAAAATAAGAGTGGTACCCCTTACAGCCAACACAATGGCCCAAAGGTATTTAATTTGGGCTTAAAATGGGGCATTTACGGAACAAAATGTATCCCAAAATTATACCAAGAAGTGTCAGACTAGAGTAAGGCGATTATAACCACGGTTTAAAAATAAACGATCACCACTGGTTACCCATTGGTTGTTTGTAACTACCATGTACCAGTGCCGTTTGCTACTGCTGATTGTACTACCATTCTTGTCCTCTACAGAAATAGTACACTATCTAGTGTGCAATGGATATGGTATAGTACAATTCTAGAAGTGACTTGTTCGAGGTTCAGAAGATCCAAGGCACACTTCTGGATCTGGTAGGTAGGTTCAATGACCAGCCCAAAATTGATAAATGGCATTAGAATTCCTAAAGTGGACAAGTGCTCCAATAAAGTAAAGTCCACATGTTCACTGAGGGCCCCCTTCCCCATCTCAAAATGCTGCACAAGAATAAACACTGTGGATGAAAAAGTTAATTAATATGTCTAAGCCTAGTTAGGATAATGCTTAACCCTGGGTAGGATCATGCCTAACCCTAGGTAGGATGATGTTAAACCATAGATAGGATCATGCCTAACCCTAGGTAGGATAATGCTTAACCCTAGGTAGGATAATAGGGAGTCCCAAGTGGCCCATATTTTGCAAAGACAATCCTATGCTGTGCTGGAGTATCACCTCATGAGACAGATTTGGGCTACCCAGTATTCTCCAGAATTCTGCAGAGGCTTAAGGAAAGAAAGGTTATATCAACTAAACTACCCCCCCCCCCCCACACACACACACACAGTTTTTTTCTTTTGTGCAGCGGTTTGAGAAGGTTGAATGGGGTCCATAGTAAGAAAGTGGACCTTGCTTGGAGTACAAGGTCCAGGTTAAATCCTGGCTCCTTTTGGTAAACATTTTTGGTTCTGAGGATTCTAGTACACCCCCACCATCCCAAATACAATACTGCAGTACCTTAAAATGAACCTGCTCTGGCCTGAACAGGTAACCATGTTGAAGTGCAGTGACACTACAATACACAGTAACTAGTTGGTCTTCAGTTTGATCATCATGCCCCAGTAGAGCCCTATGGTTCAGCAGTCTATGTTGTACAAAGGACTATGACTTCTCTTGAAGAAATGTTAAGCCATGCCCGCTTCTGGCTTTAAAAACTGCTCCCTGTCATTCAGCTTCAGGGCACCCACTAAGGTTCTGGCATTTGGCAGATAAGTCACGGGAGTGGGGCTTAATCTCAAGCCTTGTGAACAGCTTAAGCCTAGGATCCAAAGAGGGTTCCTCAGGGACCATTGTGAAGACTAACTCAAATATCTGAATGCACCACAAAGTTCTACACATTAACCCTATGGTTACCGCAGGCAGTTTTTAGGCCAGGACAGGTTCGCTCTGGAAGATTTTATGAGTAACATGGTTGAACCAAACTCCAGAGTTATGTACAAAGACTAGAAGTGACAACAGTGGGATGCTTAATGGATTATATAATAAGGTGCAGCTAACCCCAGTGGACTCACGAGAAGAGGTGAGTGGCATCGCTATGTTCAGGTATCTCTGTGCTTCGGTACTTCATGAAATCAGCCAGCACTTGCAGAGGGTCTTCACTCACTGCAATCCTGTCTCCTGCCGTCCAGGTTTCCATGGCGACCAGCACGATCCTGGTATTTAACTGCTCCCTGTAAATCTAAGAGGAGAAGCCGGGAATAAACCAGGGTGGGCTGGGGGAGCCACGGGAGGGGAAAGGAACTGGTGAGAGGAGCTTTACAGGTGTGAGGGGTGGGGGGGTTGAACACGGACAATCCCAGACTAGAACATCGGTTCAGAACTAACAGGGAGATGACAGTATACTGTACAGTCTACACTACCATTGCTGGGATTGTCTTCATTACTTATCTACATCCACCGATTCCTGAGGTTATCCAATCATCTTCAATTCAACAAAACAGGTTTAAAAATTAGGTAAATACCAAGCATGGTCGTACAGTATAATATCCTGTCAAAACTTAGAAATGGACATACACAATAAAATCTCTGGCATCTGTGTACCCATTCCTAAATACCAGGTATGAGCCACAATCCAGAGTCGGATACCCCATCCTGTTAGTAGAGCAGAGCGAATATCTGAAAAAGAGAGGAAGGCGCCTCTAAGTGCAGGACAGACAATTTATTGAACGATAGATAAAACTGCACTTACAAGATAAATCGTTAAAACGACTCATCATGTGATGTATGAAGATCCAGGTGAGCAGATCTCTGCTGGACGGCTAGATGTCTCACCTGGATCTTAATACATCACACGATGAGTAGTTGTAACGACTTGTCTTGTAAGTGCAATTTATCTATTGTTCACTAATAAACTGTCTATACTGCACTTAGAGGCGCCTTCCTCTCTTTTTCTTTTTTACTGCATTAGTGCCTTGCTTCCACTCTAAGAAGAGCTGCCTCAGTGTTACTGCTCCTATCCATCCATCCATCCATCCCTGATATCCATCTGGCACCTTTATCCTACAGCTACAGAGGTTGGGCTCTAACAAGCGCGCCCTATATAATATACATTTTCCAGAGCTAATATCAGTCTGTCACCCTGAGGAGCTGCAATAATTTGACTCTGACATGTCCCATTCCCTAATGCACCAACAGAAGAATGATCATAATTTGGTTATTACAGAAACTAGGTTATAAATGATTAAAGTGACACTAAAGCTTTAAACTTTTTTTTCTTTTTTTAATTAAAATAAAGAATTTTATACTTGCCGCTCTGTGCAATGATACTGCACAGAGCAGTCCCTTAACACTTCTTTAGAGATCCCTTGCCGGCACTATCCACATCGTCTCCCTGCGAGTGCCCCCACAACAAGCCCTGTGTTATGGGGGAACCAAGGCATGCAGGCTCCTGAGCCGGGTTGTGTGCTTTCATAGACACATGTCCCTCCTCACAGGATATGACTGACAGCTGCAAAGGCTTTCGGAACTTGTAGTTTTCCCATTCACAGACTACTGTGAATTAGTGACACCACCGGGTAGGTGGAGCCCTACATGGCCAGGGGCGGACTGACCATTTGGAAACTTGGGCGCTGCTCGAGGGCCCGGGGTCAGTAGGGGGCCCCATGAGATGCCCCTGGTACCTTTTTCATAGGCTTTTTTGAGTTTGGGCAAGGACACAGGGGCCCCATGATCCCCTATTGCCCGGGGGCCCCATGAGTTGTCAGTCCGCCCCTGTATATGGCCACTCTTTTTTTTCTTAAATTGTGACAGATATTGGGGGGAGAAGATCTCCCACTAGCTGTCACAACAGGAGGGAGCGGGAGCCAGTCCTTTTGTAACATGCTACACCCTGAATACTTGATATTTTTTGGACAATTAATGAAAATTAAAAAGTAGACAGGGATAGCAAAAAGATACAATTTAGTCCAGGACAATATATACATATTAGATTTAGTGGATGAAAATTTGTGGTATGAAATTCTACATAGGGAACAGTCTAAAGCAACTGGACATGGACAATAGTGAGCACTCCTAAAAGTAAACTTAAAGGTTATCCCACCCCTGAGGAGTATGACATGCCTTTCAGGAAGTAGGAAGGGTTTGTCTGCGTCCCTGTTGCAGTATTACTTCCTGTCCCTTATGTATATTTCTGGACAGACTATATTAGATGTCCTTGCCACTGACTTGTATAATCTCACATTCAGCGCACCCGGGGAGCTTCACACTGACAATGGCAAACACAATGCAATATACAAGGCAATAGAATAAGCAGGCTATACTTACAGTGTCTGCTAAATTCACCACTGATTTGGCAAAACTACTTGTAAGACCCAGAGACTGCCGCTGATCAAGCTGAAGGAAAGAAGGAATCAATACGATGATATCAAGGGTGTGGGGACCATTTCTGCTCTGCTGTAAATTGCAAATCTAAAACAGATTGTTTTGTTTACTGCTCATCTAGAGTGGCTTATTTTACACATGGTGTCAAAATAATGTTTGATACATGTTCCTTGATGCCCACGAGGGGCCCCGTAAAGCGGGACTTTACCCATAACAACTTGATAAAAAACAATAAAATGTTCTTTAGCAAGGATCGTACATTCCACGTTAATAATTATGTAAATTACCTGCAGCATTGTTAAGGTTTCTGCTTGCTGGAGGCTGCCATTTTGCTGAAGCCAAGAGCCCCTGAGCAGCAGTAAATCTTTAGGCTGTCAGCAGATTGGCCTCAATGTTTTCAGCAGTGCCAAAAAAATGAGAGGATCTGATCATGTGCAGAGCAGGGTGAGACAGTGTATTACTGGATTTTAAACAGTATAGGTGCTTATTTTTAATGCTTTACATATCTATACCTGCAAAAGGGGCCAGTCAAGCTGGACTTAATTTTCTGACTAAAGTTCCACTTTAGCTACTGAAGCAGAAAGTGTATTGTGCCAGACGCAGCAATGCACATAAGTACCCAGCAAAGACTTTGTCTACCAGCAGACCTCCCAGAACATGTCTCTAGCCCAGTAAGGCAGTTTCTAAATTAATTACAGGCACCATTTTGAAGCTACTATTCGGGAATTTTGGCCCAAAGCAGAACACAAAACGCACTAACATTATGGGGTTTATTTACTAAAGCTGGAGAGTCCAAAATCAGACTCCCTTCTGCATAGAAACCAATCAGCTTCTAACCTCAGCTTGTTCAATGAAGCTTTGGCAATGAAACCTGGAAGCTGATTGGTTTCTATGCAGAAGTGAGTCTGATTTTGCACTCTCCAGCTTTAGTAAATAAACCCCTATATGTCTCAATAACTAAAAATGTTATTTGCAATAAATGTACAAATATACTTTAAACCAAACACTATTTTATTATTACAAATGAAATACAAATTTGTTGATTTTTTTTTTTGTAAAACCTTTTAGTAAGTAAACCGTATAGAAATCTTATATACCCAAAAAACAAGGAGATTATTTTTTTTTTAAATTATGAATATATATATATATATATATATATATATATATATATAGATCACCAGAAAAAAAAAAAAAAAAAAGAAGTAAAGCACCTGTTACACCCTGTACACACTACCAGCATGCCAATTCCTGGAGGAGAATTCAGAACCAAGTCAGTCAAGGAGCTTGCAGGCGGTTAGCAGAACTAAGGACATATGGCTGTATTTTTTAATGGCATTTGTCTGGGTGTTGCCGTCACTTACCAAACGTCGATCATTGACCACCATGAGCTCAATGTATTTGGTTTCAGACAAAGCAGTGTGTACTATCCGGCGAACCTAGGAGAGCAAGCACAGATTCACAAACAGCTCAGTATTTACAGTAGAATAGGTCTGCAATGTATTTAACTCCTGGACATATTGTATGGGTGCCAACAAATAATCTAGCACTGATGAGACTATGCATACATGGCCAGCTCTAAACTGAGATCTGACAGTGTATGGCCAGTTGATGAAAGATGAGAGTCTTCTTATGCACCTCCTTCCAGCCCAACATCCTCAGTAACCAGCATGTACAGAATATCCAGAGCAATACAAAACTAATGCGAAGGGTTATGCCTGGTCCCTCTCCCATCCCCTTGGCACAGCATGGCCCAGGTGATGGCGATTCAAGTATATATCTTCAGAGCTAAAATTTAAAAAAAAGAAACTATGACTTTTTGCCAGGTTGTGGTGCAATCAAGATCATTTTTGCTGCGATAGGCTGTAAGTAGAACTGCTGAAGGAGTCAGGTGAACCCCTTCTCCAGTTTATGGGGCTTCATTTAAAGTTTAAGACAGTGCTGGAAAGGGAGAGGCTATTGCTGCGTTTTGTAATAAGAACACCCAGCAAGATTTGTAAGCACTTTATAAGGGAAGCACAATAAGTCCTCATGCGCACTGGATGTTTTTACAGCGGCTGTTTTTGGCTTTTGGCGGTTTACTTCTACAGCCAGTAAACTCCCCGGCATGTTATCCTATGTGTCCATGCACACATAGGCGATAATCAGCGTTTTTTTGGCTGGATAAAAACCCCCAGAACTAGTGGGTTTCTAGAGTTCTTCAGCTGTAAAAATGCTCTAACGCTGAAAAACGTGGCAAACCGGCGGTTTTGGGCTTTAAGCAAATAACGCTAAAAACAGCAAATGTGGAAAAACGTGGCAAAATGCTAATGCAAAAACGCAGAAAAACTTGCATTTTTAACGTGACTTTACACAGCTAATGCTACCAGTGTTATTAAATCGCCCCCGTGTGGAGCCTAAGCCCGAGTTCACATATATGTAGTCCGGTATATCGCATGTGATTCGCACAGGAACCGCACCGCATTCCTGTGCAAATCACATGCGATTTGTGTGCGGTGCGATTGGAGCCATACATTTTGTATGGCTCTAATCACACACCACACCAAAGAGGTGCAGGACTCTTTTTTTTGGGTCGCACTGGAATCGTATCGCATGGGTTTTCACACCTATGCGATCCGATTCTGCACATCGCACCACGTGTTTTGCAGACCTGCTTTCGGGGTGTTGTTAACATACACACCTGCAGCGTTTGCATGAACGGGGTGCGATTCTGATACGGTGCAGAATTCACACAGAATTCCGCACCTCATCAGTGTGAACCAGGGCTCAATGTTTATTCATAGAACATTTTATACTTGTAAACATAAAAAAAAATTAAATGAAACTGACCTTTACTCTCTTTTTTTTAAAGAAACCTTTACTTGGAATAAAATATAACTTGTGATAAGGTCTTCCCCTATTGCATCATAAAAGATGCTTTATTCATGGACAGCACAGCATCACCTATAGAGTTCTCCACAATTCCACAAGTTTGAAGGGATGTACATAAGTAGATTATACCTGCATTGTACTAACCTGTCTTTTCCTGCGAATTTTTGAGCTTCTTGGAATGTCAGTGGGGTGCTCACAGTCTGTGGTAAACAGAGCAGAGAAAGAGAACAACGTCTATGATTCAAATAAAAAAAAAATAAATAGTTGTATGGCCATTATAAGCCTAAACCTAAAGCTGTTAAAAACTGAGGAGCAAAAAAAAAAAAAAAAAAATATATAGAATCCCAAAGGGGGAGAAAAAAAACCTGATCACTGCCAGATCGAGAAAAAGAAAGAGAAAAAGAGAAAGTTTTTCACATTCTTCCAAGAGAGTTTCTGTAAAGAGCACCTCCAGTTTCCTGGAGACAAAATGAACACGCAGTGGAAGAGGAGTAGATAAGGTAGTTTGAACTCACATGACTCTGGTCTTTAAAATGGTTCTAAAGTCAATCTGTTTTTTTCCCCATTAAAGTAAAAATGGCCCACTACCTGTTCTACCCACCCCCATCCCCTACACATCCTGTCAGATCTCCAGCACAGTCTCGGTTGAAGCAGCGCTCTCCTCACTTCCTGGTCTCACAGGAGACACTGAGGGCAGAGGAAGCCATAGGCTCCTGCTGCTGTCAGTCAAACGTCTATGAGGAGGTAGTGGGGGCGTGGAGGAGTACGGTGTGTGTGTGTCTATGGACGCACACAGTCTGGCTTGCAAGCATGCAAACACGGTGTCTCCTTAGAAAATGGCTTACTAAGGAAGGACCCAGCTTGCTAAGGAAGCACCCAAAGGAGGGAGGAGCAGACAGTGCCAGCGGGAGGTAAGAGACCTTTCTATGCAATATCATTGCACAGAGCAGGTAAGTATAATGCTTATCCTTTAGTACCGCTTTAATTTATAAGACTTGATTTAACCCACATCCAGGACTCCAGGGTTCAATGCATCCCCAATACCAAGTTCTATGAGGACATCTTCAACAACCAGAGAAGCTTTCAGCATAAGTGTCTTATATGCAGAGCTCCTGGAACCATAGTCTGCCTTAAGGTCCTGCTGACATGAACCCTCACACCAATTGTCCCTGTAGCCCTCACATCAACGTCCCCCATAACCTTCCCACTAACCCTTCCAGTGATCCTCACACCAATTGTCCCTGTAGCCCTCACATCAACGTCCCCAATAACCTTCCCACTAACCCTTCCAGTGATCCTCACACCAATTGTCCCTGTAGCCCTCACATCAACTTCCCCTACAACCTTCCCACTAACCCTTCCTGTGATCCTCACACCAATTGTCCCTGTAGCCCTCACATCAACGTCCCCCATAACCTTCCCACTAACCCTACCTGTGATCCTCTCACCAATTGTCCCTGTAACCCTCATACTAACAATCCCTGTAACCCCACACTCAACCTCCCTGTAATGCTTCAGGTAACCCTCACACCATATCTCCCTGTAAGTCCACCACTAAATCTCTCTGCAAGGGCACTTTCATACACTGATCCGTGCAAAAACTAGTTTTTTACCACATTTTTTCCGCAACTGCGGTGTATTTTTTTTTTTTTTTTTTTTTAAAGGACTTGGGACTCAAAAGTTGCACCCAAAAAACGCATCTTGGGTGCATTTGTGAAGTGTTTTCCATCGATTTCAATGGGGGAGGTGCGTTCTTGATGCGGTTTTTTTAAACTGAACAAACATGCTCCAAAAATGCTGCAAGCAGAATCTTTTACACCGCAACAGAAGCGTAACACCCCAGTGGGAAAACATACATAGATATACGTAGGGAAGCATTTTTCATTAGCTTTTCTTGCTTTTTTTTTTTTTTTTTTTTTTTTAAAAACAAAGGTGCTTCAAAAAACTCCTCAGTGTGAAAGTCTGATACCAACCTTCCCTGTAACCCTCACAACAACCTTAACAAACCTAACACTAGTCTCCCTAATGTAAAACAAGTGTATACAAACCCTAACAATAAGCGTCCCTAGTTATTAAATATATATTTTTTATGTAAAGTGTAAAAAAAATGTTTTTTTTCCAGAAATCCAGTGAGCTTGTAATTTTCGGTGCACTTTGCTGCACTAAAATCTCAAGCAGTGTTGTCAGCTCTGCCCAAGTCTTCTTTGTGGATTACAGAACACACCTCTCCTCTATATTATGAAGAGGAGGAGAGGGGGAGGAAGTTATGCAGTCCAAATCAGGAGCCAAAAATCAATGCTGACAACACCGCTCCTCAGTAGGTACAGTGAGTTACTGTTGTCATCCTGAGACAGGAAGAGTGTTCCTGGCAGGATCACAAAGTGTTTTTGGGTTTAGGTAACCTTGAACATCTTCTTTGCCAAGCTGGGAGCCAGGAAGTTGAGACGATGCAAATAAGAACCATTTCCACTTACCTCTCCCAAACCATGTATTAAATTAAAGTAGTAGAGTAGTACGGTGTTAGCCATCAATTAATGCAGAAAGTTTGGCATTTCGGTGACACCTTATACTGGTGAAGTTATTACAGATGCAGGCTTTCAAGGTGCCTGCTCTCTTTGTCATATATAAAGCTTGAAGATGGAATCTAAGGTATCTGTTATTAATAACTTATTAGGCAATAAAGGGTATAATTTAATCTCTAAAAACATTAGGAAAAAAGAAAAAAAAAAAAAAAAAAATCAGACTACAACAAGTATGTCATTCACTATTACACAAATGATTCGTAATAATTCACAAATGTAATTAATAACAAAATTATTTATGTGTGTTACGTTTTGGATACCTGGTTCTGTGCACATCCTGGTCCGTTGAACTACATGAGGCCATGGCAGAGACTTCTGTGAAGAAGAAAAGGAGTGTCAGTGACCGAACTGTAACCTGCCAACTCTGTATATCTAGAAATCAGATAAATAAACTTTGTAGCTACACATATAACATAGTCCATACACCAGAACTGAGCTCAGCTGGACCAAGGTAAGCATTTCACTGGGTTTCTTTAATATATAGAAACTTAAACACAAAGGAAGGGACTTCTATTAAACAACCCTAGGGCATTGATTTGGGGCAGTGTTTTTCTAGCATGATGGTATGAAGCCAATGTGTGGAAGAGAAAATCACTTTGTTAAGGAAATCTACAAATCCTCTACTCATGATAAAACCGTTTTAAAAGTTTATTTAGAAGACAAGAGTTACAAAATAATGCCCCTTTCACACTGATGGTCCGATCGGGTCCACCAGTCAGTTTTTCAGGCAGACCTGATCGGACCATCCAAAGCTCTCTATGGAGTGGAGGGTGTTAGCGGATGTGCGTCCGTTGACACCCGCTGGCATCCCTTACGAATACAAATGCACGCCACACTTTTCAGACATTTATTTGTAAAAAAATTTTGAAAAGCAGTTATTTTTCTTCCACTTCACAATTCTGTGCCACTTTGTGTTGGTCTACTACACAAAATCCCAATAAAAAAGACATTTATGTTTTTGGTTGTAACATGACAAAAAGTGGAAAATCTCAAGGGGTATGAATACTTTTTCAAGGCACTGTAGTCTTTGTTGCATGTGCAGAGTTACATTGGTCCAATGTAATTATGAATAACATATCCATACCTGGAGTGCTTTATCATGAGAAGAGGTTTTGTTTATTTCCTTCTCAACTAATTATTTATTTTGAATTGCGAAATAGGCATTACCTATAGACTTTGGTGTACCAGATCTGATCCCCAATTGTCAGGGGATTGTGACTCCTCAGCCTTGTGTATATAAAATGAAAAGCAAGTGATTGGCTGGGCAATATAGACACGTTTTTGCCTGCATGTTTTGTGAGAAATCCCAGAAAAATGTATATGCGGACTGCCTATAGGTGGCAGCAGGGAGCCCTTATCTAGTGGATGGAAGAAGAAATCGGCAGTAAATATGTAAGCACTGCCATAGGAGTTGGCTGAGAGCGCTTAATACATCCTCCAGAATTCTCAACATACACTGAAGACAGAAGGTAAAGAGAAAAGGCAAACCACATCCTGCTTGCCCATTTGCACTGGTGACAGTCAGTGGTCTATTTAGGTTTTGTGGTGCCCTAGGCAACACAAAAATCAGATACCCCCCCTCTCCCCGGCGGAGAGAGCCTGACACTGACCAACACCAGACCACCCTCCCCACGGAGAGAGCCTGGCACTGACCAACACCCCTGCCCCATACCCACCCCCAACCGAGAGAGCCTCCCACGAATATCCACCACCCCCCCTTCCCTGGTGCCAGAGAGAAAGACGCTCACCTTCACAGCTCTGGACATCCCCGGGAACAACACTTGGATTCTGCATACACCATCAAGCCCCCCGCAGCCTCTCTCAGAACCCACCCGGTCCCCATGTCACATATGTCCCTTCTTCTGGGAGTCAGTGCTGCCCCCCTAAAAAATGCCGCCCTAGGCAAATGCCTTGTGGTAAATACACCCCTGGTGACAGTAGTAAGCAATTGAAGGGCTTTTTCCTCCATTTGGAAACAAATGTAATTATATGGAAATGACTTCTTATACCATGTTGTTATCAAGCAATACAAAAAGTGCCACAACTATATGTAAATGTTAACAGAAATTAATTTATGTGGAGATCTAATATAAACTAGACAAGGACCTTGTCTGTTATCTACAGCCTGGGAACCCTACCTCATCAACTTTTCTTGACATCACCTGATAAATTCCTCCTTCTAGTAGCATGAGAATATTTAGAGCTAAATCACTCAGTAAAAAAACTGGTCTGTGGTAGAGGCACATCTAAAACTCCAACAGAAATGATGTGTTTTTGATAACTAGCAGCCAGGGGCGGACTGACCATTTGGAAACTCGGGCACTGCCCGAGGGCCCGGGGTCAGTAGGGGGCCCCATGAGATGCCCCTGGTACCTTTTTCATAGGCTTTTTTGAGTTTGGGCAAGGACACAGGGGCCCCATGATCCCTTATTGCCCGGGGGCCCCATGAGTTGTCAGTCCGCCCATGCTAGCAGCATACTAAGCTCTCAGAATGAAAGGTTCGGTCTCTGGAAAGTATAAGTAGCAATGGGCTGTGTGTTAGCCATCAGCCTCCAAAATAAACTGAGCTAGGGTGGTGGGCTCATGTAAGGAGATGGTCTAAAACCTGCAAGAACTGGTACCTGAAAACTCTTAGGAGGTTTAATGATCTGATTAAATACAGAAGAGAAGACCACCAGATGAGATATTAACTGGCTGCCCCACCAATACTGTGACATTGGTAATAGAACTTCCCTGAAATAATATGATCTTCCAGCTTGGGATGCATAAGAATGACTATAAATCTAAACATCCGGTCATAAAATGAAGACAGGAAGAAGCAGACAGACACACTTACCTCAGTGCTGTGTTCCTGGGGGTATATGGTATAGGTGAACATCCCGTCTGAAAATGCCCCACTGCAGTAGATACAAAAAAAAGGTGTAAAGTTAGACAAATTATTATTATTATTATTATTATACAGGATTTATATAGCGCTAACAGTTTGCTCAGCGCTTTACAATATAAAGGGAGACAATACAGCAACAATACAGTTCAATACAAGAGGGTTAGGAGGGCCCTGATCCTAGGAGCTTACAATCTACCTGGTGGTACAAAGGGTAATAACTATGGGGGATGGACTAGTAGGAGGAATGGAAGATTCCGTTATTAGCTGAAGGCAGGATAAGCTTCCCTGAAGAGATAGGTTTTCAGAGATCGTCTGAAAGTGGGCAGAGTAGGCAATAGTCTGACAGATTGGGGTAGAGAGTTCCAGAGTATGGGGGAGGCTCTGGAGAAGTCCTGGAGATGAGCATGGGGGGAGGAGACAAGGAAGGTAGAGAGCAGGAGGTCCTGTGAGGAGCGGAGAGTAAAGTTTGGGTGATATTTGGAGACAAGATTGGTGATGTAATTTGGGGCAGAGTTATAAATGGCTTTATATGTTATTGCTAATGTTTTGAATTTCATTCGTTGGGCAATGGGAAGCCAGTGGAGGGAATGGCAGGGGGAAGGAATGGCAGGGGGCAGCAGCATTCATGATAGACTAAAGAGGGGATAATAAATAGCTCATATCCTGATCACTCCCTGTGTAACCATGGCTAGAGGTAAAAGAAAAGGTCAGCTCACAAGGTCCCAACACAAGGTACTTTGACCTCTAGAGCAGGAGGCCAGACTTCACCTTAGGCTAGGTTCACATTGCTGCAATTAGATTTTCATCTTTCACTGTGATTATTTAGTGCTACTTGGATGTGGTTTACATATTCTATTGGTGCACTGGAATCGCACCAATGTAGTACAGGAACCTTTTCTGAAATTGCACTGTGCCGGGTACATTGATGTAAACGTGCATCATCAAAAACAACGTAATTTCCATTGTCATGCAATCACGTGCAACTCACGTTGCATCTGAAATGGCACTAGTGTGAACGGAGCCCTAAGCACAAATGAAGCTTAGCCCAGCCACAAAGGGCTTGTATACAGAGAGATAAGAGGGAGATGTGGATGGTACATTCTAAATCTGGCATGAACTTCTACATTCTTCTGATTTCATACCACCTCCTCTTACTTGTATTACTGTCTGCTCTGTCCATAGGAAGGGGTAACAAAGAGAAGTATCATACTATTAGTGGTCACATCGGCTGATCACATGGTTGCCACAGCAGTCACTTGATTGAGAATCAGTCCTGCCGGCTTCTTATCATTAATATGGACTAAGAGCGGTCTCAGCACAGGAAGCTCTGCTGCACACAGACGCATGTGTGCGTTCTTTGGGTGTTAAGGCCCACCACTTTGCTGCTGTACATTTATATTACATGGACGGCCAGAGGTTAATACAGTCTCCAAGAAAGCATCAAGGTATTGCTGGGCTATCAGATTAGGCTCAGCATACTTTGCAATATGCAAGGCCTGATCAATATTTTTGAAACACTGAATATGGGGAGGGTGGAACTTGGAGAAAAAATAACTCTACCTAACCTTATAGATCGGTTTTGCTAGTACCACACCCCTAAGGAAAATAGCTAAAAAAAAAACCTAACCAAAAAAGCTAATGGGGCTTTAAAAAGGTACCACACCATACCAATAGAAGTGAAATAGAAACGTGAAAACAATAAATAAAATTAAACACTTTTTTTAGTTTAAAAAAACCACCCTTGTGTGGAAAAAATGAATCAGGCATAAACAAAGAAAAAACATAAAAATACAAACAAAAAACGGCCCGCAGTAAGTTGTGGCTGATGTCCTAGACGCAGTTGGCGTCACGGGTATCAGCCGCAATAAACAACACCCATTATCTAGGAGCAAAAAAGGCTGAACTGTATAAGTAGCATATGAAGGTACATGGCTAGCAGTGGAGACAATTAGTTGTGTTGAAAAAGAACACCTAACCAGATAGCGACATAAGTGTTGATGAACAATTGATTAAGTAGTATCCACTTGAAACCATGAAAGGTGCTTTGCTTATGGATTCCAACGCGTTTCGTGGGATGCAGCCCACTTCTTCAGGGAACAAAAGAAAACAAATTCCAGCTGATGATACCGGTACATTCTCAGATAGCTCCTGCTAGATATAAATCAGTAGTATCTGGATGAACAAGGAGGGGCCTCCAGCAACCATGAGAAATGATCATCGATCAAGAAATAGTCCAAATACATTTGAAGACTTGTGGAAGACACAGTCATCATTCATTCAAACAAGAATGCAATGGCCAGGTACTAAAGGTCATCAGGTATATTCAAGCACAGATTGCTTTCCAAAAGTGGGGAAAAAATATCTTGTCGAAAGAGGGGGAGGAATAGACTTCAGAACCTCTTCCCCTCTGTGTAGGTTTTTTAACCTAATAAAAGGTGTTTCATTTTATTTATTGTTTTCACGTTTCTATTTCACTTCTATTGTTATGGTGTGGTACATTTAAAGCCCCAGGTGTGATAATTACTAGAGGATCCCAAACATGAAACACATAACTACAACGGTGTTGGAAATATCTACAAATATATGTTGCGCTCCTAAATACATCTCAATAAATAATAATTAAATTACCATTAAATTAATTCAAATTATAATACAAATAACTAATACAAGTGTATAAATACCCAAAAATATTTGAATAGATAATTTCAACTAATCAATCTCCTCCAAATAAATATCAAAATAATTCCACATGAAATACTCCTCTAAATTTTTATTAGTTATTTGTATTATAATTTGAATTAATTTAATGGTAATAATTTAATTATTATTTATTGAGAAGTATTTAGGAGCGCAACATATATTTGTAGACATTTAAAGCCCCATTAGCTTTTTTGGTTTGGGTTTTTTCCACGATTTCTGAAATAAAGCCTCACCCAGAGGCATTTACAAGGGTCCTGCAGACATTAGATCACACGTTGCATCCATGATTTGTTATCGAATGTCTAGGAGAATTTTCAGACAAACATACTGTATATAGCTGCCAAAATGTTAAACAATTTCTATGGTCACTTTTGTGTGGATTTAGCAAGTTGGACAATTGCATGATTCTACGACAGCCATGAATTACTACATTTTTCACTGTATTATCTGCCCCAAACTGGTTGTTAAAATGCTAGGTCACAGGTTGATGCCACTAAAATGATATTTTGGCGATAGGTGGAGCTTGGAAGGTGGAGTCACCCCCGGCATCCTGTGTGTCTTGCATCAGTGAGATCTCCTTGACAAAACTCCTGACTCTCTTCCCACCTGGGAGATATTTGGAATATTTTTAAATGAAAGTTTTTCTGTCTGGAGTTTGGCTTTAAATAATTGCTTAAGACCAAATGAAAATGAAAAGTTAAAAAAAACTGAATCATACACGCAGAAAAGGAGGGCTTTTTTTTTTTTCTTTTTTTTTTTTTTAAGGACTTCACATTTTAAAAGATTTTCAGGCAGAACAAAAATTCCAAGGACAAGCATTGGAAATCTGAGACTGTCCCTGGAAACCTGGAAGGACCAGCAGCTATGAAGCTGTAATTAGTGCATATAGATTTCATTCTCTTGAGGGCTGTTCAGCTGTCTCTGCGATCCATTGTCCTTACAATAGATGACCTCGGAGATGTCTGCTCTGATGAGTGAACACAGACAGCAGGTGATCTCATCACACATAATGATAAAGAGTCAGTAGCAGATTCCTGCATGGAGGACGGAATGAACTGTGAGTTCCACAGTAACATTCCACGCTGTTCCGCCACCCCCACACACCTCCTGCTGTCACCAAATGTCTCAGCACCACAAGCCACATCGTAGGAAGTCATTAGAGAGAAGCAGAGAGCTTCGCCGACAGACAGCCAACGTGCATCTTGCTGGAGAAACTCACCTGAGCCCGTAGCAGGTGGAGATGGCAACCCATGACACCTCTACCCCACGCACATGGCCGCTGTAATAACAGTGATCTCCCGCTAAACCAGGACTCTGTGAAACAAACACATACGACTTAGAATTGCAACACCAAAAATAAAAGATCAATGAAGACTAAACCAGAACTAAACAGTTTAAAGCTCACCACATGCATTACAAATATGATTGTACAATCAGTACCATTAAAGTGGTTCTAAAGGCTGAAGGTATTTTACCTTCATGAATTCTATGTAATGATGACAATAAAAGAAAAACAAATGAATGAAGAGTGAGATGATGAAAGCTTAGAGCGGCACTACAAGTATTAGCAGCAAACAAGTTAATAAAATATAAATTCTAGGATCATTAAGCAGTGTATGGATTACTTTTGGAGAATAAGGACATCAATGAATGTCACTTTAAGGTGGCTGTGTACTTTAGGCCAAGTTCACACTGGCATTTCGTCCATTTTTCAGGCAGACCCACCCATTGCCCTCTATGGAGTGGCGGATGTAAACGGACATGTCTGTTTACACCCACCTGTATCTGATCCGCTAAAAACAGACAGATGGGGATCCATCATTCCCCATCCATCTAGCAGGTCAGATTGGATGAAAGTCTGCCTGTAGAGTAAGGCTGGCCATACACTATACAATTTTCTGTCCAATTTCTGAACAATTTCCTTTAGATTTACCTTCAACTATGAAGTGCAAGGGCCTGCCTAATTGGATACAATTGAAAGTGTTGTTTAGGCTTGACCTCCCTATTATATGGTTTTTGGTAAATCTAAAGCGAAATTCTCTACAAAATTGTATAATATATGGCCAGCCTTAGGCAGACTTTGTCCACTCTTCATAAGCGGAGCGGACACGGACTTGTCATCCCCCTGCTGAGGGATCAGCTGACGGATCTCCCACTGAACAGGCAGATCCTCTGGCAGAGTCTCCCTGTGTGGACGGGGCCTTACAGTTTCAATGTATGTCTTCTTTAGAGTTATTACTATCCTAAACTAAAAAAAAAAAATGTTTTCTGCCTTCAGTTAAATTTTAATAGAGTGGAGATGGATTAGAACACCTGTTAAGTTATTATTGCTATATCTACCTCGTTCGGGAGATTCACCCCATTTGTCCATTATCACTGAAAGTGTAAATAAACAAAATCCCCAATTTTGGGCTGTCCCCAGAACAGTAGTAGAGGGTAAATCTTCCAATGGGGACACCGGTTCAGTGAAAATATCTCTGTGCACACTCTGTATGTGAACAGCCTCAACCCATGCAAATCAATAGCTGGTGCAGTCGCTGTATTGCATCCAACTCTTCATCCAAGCAAATCAATAGTAACTATGTGGCTCCGAACTTGCCTCTTTCAGTGTACCTCCAGCCCTCGTCGGGTGTATGCCCAGGAGCACACTGTCGCTCAGCGCTTTGGCTTGTCAAGTAGAATTGAACGGGCTACACACGGATACCACCACCGCGGTGAAAAGCCAGCTTTAATATAAAGCCTCATTCACACGGGCATACATATGGTACACCCATGCAAAGGGGTCTTTGCCTGTACTGGTGTTCTGTGCATCTGCATGCAGGCAGTCCTATTCAAAACTACTAGGATGCAGTGGCTGCATGGAAACATCTGCTGGTCTCAATATGCCAGCCATGCGGATGTGTGTCCACACACGCACACTGTGTTCAGGGACCGTACTGCTGGCAAGTTGAGACCAGCGGCTGTGTCCATGCAGGTGCTAGATCAAAATACATGTTAATGGGACTGCCTGTACCTGTGCATCCTATGCAGGCAAAGACGACCCTTTGCACGAGTGTAAACATAGGTACGCCTTTGTGAATGAGGCCTAATAACTAGAGCATTCACAAAGTATGGTCTCACTTGTCCACCTCCCACTCCAATGCCCTTTACCCCACAAAAGGCTTAATCATGGAAACCGCCATGTTGTCTCCATGATTAAGATCTTCGTGGGGTGAAATGAGTTGCAGTGGGAGGTGGACAGGAGAGACTATATGTTCTGAATCCCCTTACTTATCTATTAATGCTGGTTTTATATTGGTGACAGCATCAGTATGTGGCCAATTCATTTCAACCTGACAAGCTCTCATTCAAGCGGTTAATTGCAGTTAGGGTCTCTGACTGGGCCAGGACACAGCCCAGGGGCGGCAATTCGTGCCAAACACAAACTGGCTGATCATCGTAGTGCAGATGTAAAGCGTAGCCCAGGGGCAGACTGACAACTCATGGGGCCCCCGGGCAATAGGGGATCATGGGGCCCCTGTGTCCTTGCCCAAACTCAAAAAAGCCTATGAAAAAGGTACCAGGGGCATCTCATGTGGCCTCCTACTGACCTCGGGCCCTCGGGCAGTGCCCGAGTTTCCAAATGGTCAGTCCGCCCCTGGTGTAGCCACATCTAAACCCTGCATTCCAGCCTTCCTCACTTGATGGTTTGAATGAGGCCTTGGACAGTTGTCCAAGCGCAATATTGGATCAGAATTTGGCTTCTCCATCAATTTCTGTCCCCTTGACCAGAGTCACCAGGACAAGTTGAGAGGGTGAATGTCCAAAGAGCATTAAAAAAGCAGCCATGGGGTTATAATTCCATCTAAAGCATAGAAAGTTTTGTCTACACATACACTCTCAACACAAATAAAAACAGTAACAAAAAAATAAAAAAGTTTCAAAACCAAAAGTAGAGACCAGGGGAGTCAGGAGTAAACTTGTGGCTGTGTTCCCCCCATTGTATGTTTCTGCAGCTCACATCACAACCAGACCATAGAACAAGCCTGTGATCTGCAGAACAGGTGCCGCAACAGTAGAACTGTTATAATTTACAAAATTATACCGCAAAGTGGGTGGATCGCCAGTTGTAGGCGGACGCGCCTTTCTGCATACCTACAGACAGGAACATACATTTTTCATTGAGCCCATACAGTCTCTCCTTGCTCCTGTTTTATGTAGGTCATCTCTGAACGGGTAAGGCACACAGTGGAAATAAGATGCCTTCTACGCGTCCTCTGCCTTAGTGCGTACATTTTATTTTCCTTACATAACGGGCCCAAGTGTTGAAGTGAAGTGGAAATAATGATAAAACAATATCTGGGTCCCTCCCCCCCCCCACAGAACGTGGCCCGAGGTAAACTGAAGATTCATTTATTAGTGCGCTGCAGTTGAAAGAACTGGATGTGCCAAGTTCGGGGCTGTGCGGTGAGCGCCCATACCTCCCTCCATGACCCATTTTATCCACAAAGCTCCAGGAGCGGCCCCCTCTTCCCACGTCTCTCCAGTAGCAATAAATAATGGATGCCAAGACTTTTCTGTTTCCAAGTCAGTTATTAATCCAGACCCAATTAATTAACATGAAGACAGAACACTAGAGATTTAAAGGAAACCTGTAATGAGAAATATATGCATGTCGCCATGGCTGACCTCCTGAAAATGCTGGTTGTCTGGCTCTCTCTGCCGTTAACACTTTAAATCATTGAGCCAGAACAAGCATGCAACGAGAACGTCAGAACTCCTAACCTGCATACTTGCTCCAAGAATATGAATCAGTAAGACTCCGGGGCGGACTGACAACTCATGGGGCCCCCGGGCAATAGGGGATCATGGGGCCCCTGTGTCCTTGCCCAAACTCAAAAAAGCCTATGAAAAGGGTACCAGGGGTATCTCATGGGGCCCCCTACTGACCCCGGGCCCTCGGGCAGTGCCCGAGTTTCATAATGTTCAGTCCGCCCCTGGACCTAACACCAGTGTCAACACGACAGCCAGACAACTAGCATTTTAAAGCCCAAATGAAATAGTTTAATTCAGCTAAAAATGTTCCAGGTGCACAAAAAGGTTGTCAAATGCCTATAGTTTATTTGTATCTGAAGGCAGCCACAGCCTCAGTAGTAAAGCCTGTCCCCTGCCAGCAAGCTGAAGAGGGACCATTGCTCTCTGTGTGGAAACAATCTCTCTGCAGAGGTTGAACATGTTCCCTCCCAAGTTAGATCTATAAACCAACACAGCAAATTTCTCAGTGCTGGTTGGAGAGTTCTAGACCTGATTTAGAAAGTGGCATGCTGAATCTCTGCAGAGAGTCCACTGCTTCCACAAAAAGAGCACAGGTCCTTCTCTGCAACATGCTGGCAGGAGACAGGCTTTTCTACTCAAGCTGTGGCTGTTTTCTAAACAAAACTAACTGTAAAGCTGGCCAGATATAGTGAATGCAGGGTCCGGGGAGACCAGATATAGGGAATGCAGGGTTCAGGGAGACCACATATAATGAATGCAGGGTCCGGGGAGACCACATATAGGGAACGCAGGGTCCGGGGGGAGACCAGATATAGTGAATGCAGGGTCCGGGGGGAGACCAGATATAGTGAATGCAGGGTCGGGGAGACCAGATATAGTGAATGCAGGGTCCGGGGAGACCGGATATAGTGAATGCAGGGTCCGGGAGACCAGATATAGTGAATGCAGGGTCCAGGGTTTAGTAACACTTCAAAGTGTATATGAAGGCAAACCATTTTTTAGATTTAGTTTTGGATGGGGGTGGGGGTTTTGAAAGATCCTCTAAGGTTTTTGCTGTCTGTATTCCCTAGAGGAGATTCACCCCTCTAAATGTTCAGGGTAACACCGTCATGAGACAGATTATGATGGCAAATCCACATTTTACAGAGGCAAGTGGGAAATTTCCAGTAAGAATTCTGGGCAACTGTTTAAAACGGAACACTTTAAAGAGAGTTCATTTCACTTCCTGTTGTATCTCAAAAACAGGAAATGAACGGACGTCTACTCAGTGGTACAAAGATAAAAAAAAAAACAAAAAAAAACAAAAACACCCAACTGGTGTTTTAACTATTACATACTCAATCCAAAACTCACAAAGGTTTTCCTTTTGATACAATTTAACACTTTTTAGCAAATCGAGGCAGTGGAATAGCTTGGCTTAATGCAAACCCTGCTGTCAGTCAGCATGATGTGATGGAGGGGGCAGGCATAGACGCCACATATGAAAGAGTGTCAGGTAATGGATTGAATGTTAATTCTTTTCAATCACAAATGCAAGATTTAAAAATAATGAATAACATAAATTATAATAAGTGATCTCAGCAGCTTCACATATAAAATCAGTTTCATGATTTTCTAATAGACCAGAGTTCTTTTTTTATACAAGTGACATTACAATGAAACACTCACCCGCACCCGACTATTGTTTTGATTGTTGTAATATATTTCAACGTAGCCAGATGATAAAAGATGGCTAAAAGAGAAAGAGGCATCATAGTCCAACTACATTGTAAATATGCAACACCTTTGCCCTAAGCTTAACAGCTGTACATCCAAATCTCATCAGATTTGATGGGGAGATTTGGTGATGTCACTAAATGTGCTGCTCATGGTTCACATTGCTGAAGAGGAAGCTGTACCTGTGACCTCGCAGTGAAAGGATCTCTCTGTTTCTTTTGTCCTGAAAATCTGTGCATTCGAAACCTCATCTGTTCTTGATCTAATACAACCCTGCTAGCAGGCTGTCTTTAGGAAGCAAACACCTGACCCTCTACCAAGATGGCCACCTCTACACAGAGACACAGTGAAGGCTAAATTATTAACAGGGGAAAGACCAACAGTAGGGAGGAAGACTGTAGACAGAAGTGCAGAGTAGTCTCTTGCTCTCTGCTTACCCTTTTTTAGTGTATAGAGTCTGAGTCTGTACACTGCACAAAAAGAAGTGGTATGGAGTATATCATCTAAAGTACAGAGTGCAGCATGGAGTATATAACATACAGTGGAGTGTTTAATGTGGAACAGGGAGTATATAACATACAATGGAGGGTATAACATACAATGGAGTGTATAACATACAATGGAGTGTTTAATGTGGAACAGGGAGTATATAACATACAATGGAGTGTATAACATACAATGGAGTATATAACATACAGTGGAGAGTTTAATGTGGAACAGGGAGTATATAACATACAATGGAGTATATAACATACAATGGAGTGTATAACATACAATGGAGTGTTTAATGTGGAACAGGGAGTGTATAACATACAGCAGAGCACACCAAATGAAGCAATGTAGAATACATTTCAGGACAGGGTACAGAGTGAAGCAAGTTGAAGTACATAATGAACAGCACATTATACAGCAGTGTGGAGCATACAGTATACTGTACAGCACAATGTACAGGGTGGAGTGATATGGAAAATGCAATGTATAGGGCACAGAGTGGCACAATGTGAAATATATAATGTACAACACAGGGCACACATTGGAGTGATATGGAATATTTATTGTACAGGGTAGAAAGCTGAGCAATGTACAGCACAGAGAGAGCAGTATAGTGGATATAATGTACAGTACAGTGTACAGAGTAGAGTGATGTAGAGTTTATTATACACAGCACAATGCACAGAGTGGAGAAGCATGGACCATATACAGTAATGTACAACCCAGTGCTCAGAGTGGAGTGATGTGGACCATATAATGTACAACCCAGTGCTCAGAGTGGAGTGATGCGGAATATATAATGTAACACAGTGTACAGAGAGAAACATGGTAAAGTATGCTATGTACTGTATATAATGTACAACACAGTGCACAGAGAGGAGCAGTGTGGAATATAACAAATAGCACGGTGCACAGAAAAGAGTAGTGTAAAGTATATTGTATACAACACTTTGCATTCATCAGACACTTTATTCATGTGTGTGTTGCTTCAGCTGCCCTTTGCTCGTCCTGAAAAAATCCACCACAGATTTCACAAGTCACTGCATGTCTCCAACTTCTGTGGAAACATTTGGCTCTTACAATTTGTTACTCTGGTGTTGTAGAAAAGGCATCTGTCAGCCCTGTAGCATCACAATCTGCTGTTTGCGGGACTCTCATCTTACTACAGTACAGGTGGATGGTACATATGGCCGACTACCCCGTGAATGAATGCATAATGATATAAAGAGAGGAGAGTTCTCTATACTCACTGATTTAGCTCCAAGTCCAGAACAAGCTCTTTCCTAAATGCTGGAACCAGGAAGCTGACGCTGGCGAGATGCGCTGACTGTAATACAGGGATAGAAGAAGTTAAACGCAAACTGAAAGGTAATAGGTTGGTAAAAGATACATCACTTTGTGCATCACTGTTACACTGTTTATGGACTATGAAGACATGTAAAAGCCATGTAGGGCTCTGAGGAAGAGGCAAGTCCTCGAAACGTGTCAGGGCTCTGAGGAAGAGGCAAGTCCTCGAAACGCATCAGAATTTTGGATGTCTAAACTTCCTATTGCGGACTGTGGGTGTTGACCCAGCTGTTCTTTTATGATGTGCCTTGACTATATTGTCGTTTGTGAGTACAACACCTACTTTATTTTTTATTAAACATTTTTTATGGTAATGCACTAGGCCTGTGCGCCCTTTTTGTTCTTTCCCCATTATGTAAAAGCCATGAACAGGGACTTGCTAAGAGGAAATGCAAATTCCCAAAAACTTCCCAAGGGCTAAATGAACTGTCTAAGTAGTTTCTAGCAACCAATCAACACAGCCATTTTATACCGTCTGTGTTCCACTGCATCTGGTGGACATAGCAGACCACAGATCGTACCACTGCACAGCCCCTAAGACATGCACGAGGCACACCAGCAGGAGGATGTCATGACGTCCACCCAGGATAATAGAGCACCTGACCGGCCGTATTATTACAATAGGCCTGTAGGGGGAAGTGGTTAATGACTCTATACTGTGTTCAAGTAATGTACCCAGTAACAAAAGTCCATAAATCATAGGCATCAGGTTCATGTTACAGTCTGTCTGTTTAAAGCTTGTCTTCTATCAGATGTCAGTTTGTAAAACATTTTGGTGAAAGCTACGTACGTGAAATGAACAATAGCGATGGTCATCTCCATTTAGCATCTGACGTGCACACTACTTGGTTCAATGTTATCCCACTAGAGCACGCTCACGAGAAACCTTCAGAAACTTGCAAGGAGGGCTCCAAGGTTTCGACTGCCTAGGGGCCTCCACAGAGTTTAATCCGGCACTGGTTTGCTGCAGTGGCAATATCATACAATATCAATATGAACCTAATTACAGCCCTGACTAAGAGCTTTCCTTGCCAGTTATAATACTTCCGATGTGGTTTGTGTAAGCGGACACTGAGTATGTGGAACAATACAATACAGACATTTTTAATGAGATCTAATGTTACATATACCTTGCTTAAAGGATCAATCCACAGATATCTTCATTTCCATTTTTGGAAGATGCTACAGTGCTAAACTACCCGACAGTTTCTTATTAGGGACAATTATACCCGCGTGGAAGAAAAATATATTTTAGATAGATTTTAACCATTTCGTGCCGGCGCCTCCCGGCCCTTTAAGAGTTTCAGAATTCAGGAGGCAGGTGGGGTTTTAGGGTCATGTGACCGCCGTGATTCACTGTAGCTGCAGTCACATGATCAGAAAAGGTCCTGATCGAAAGGGGAGATCGGGACCTTTCCATGAGTCACGTACATATGTGCTGAGAACGTGCAGGGCGCGCTCTCTCAGCACATATGTATTTTCTAATTGCACGCAAATATGCGTCAAGGCCCAGACGCCGAGAGGCAGCATCTTTGCGTGTGCTCGGCATCAAAGGGTTATAAATATTCTTCCCAAATATATTGATATATATTTGAAATACTACAAATTTGACCGTATTCAGTATATAAAAAGTGTATGTTGAGATGCGTTTTTTATATATTAAAAAAAATATGTGAAGAATATTTAAAAAAAAAAAATACATTTTCAAATATACCGTATGTCTTTGAAAATACATTTAGTCTACATTTTTGGAATGCATTTACAAGCAGTTAAAATGAATTTTTTTATATGTTAAAAAAAGTTAAAGAATATAATTTTAAAAAATATATGCCTTTAGAAAATATATTTCAATAAAACATTTTTAGAATACATGTTCAAATATATTAGCGTAGGCCAATATAGTGTAAATATATGTCACATATATAATTTTTTTTCTAACTATATTGGAAATATATTTCTCTTCCATGTGGGTAGAGGTAAGGCCTCTACTCTAAGTTGCCAGCTCTGCATATCTGCTTTGGACATTGCGAGGGGTACTACTTACTTTTAAATTAATTTGTCATTGTTAATAATGTAACAGGAGGAGCTGGAACACGTAATGGTGGGCAGGAAGACCCGAAAACCTAAAGCAGAGTTGGAGATTTCACGGCTGGGAGTATCCAAGATAGAAGGCCATTTTCCGACTTTGAGCCTCGCTCATTTGCTAGCCGCATTTGGAGTGCCATTAATTAATGGCACTGCAAGTGCGACCCACGTTTTCTACATGTTCCCGGAATACCCAGGTGTGAATCCAGCCTTAGATTTAGACACGTTTGCTCACAGAGCAATTTTTTTAATCTCTTTTGCACACGTTAAAATCTGCATTTTTGGCTTAAAAGAATTACTTAACCCCTTTACGACACATTAACACATATATGCAGCGTCCAGGAGCTGGGCTTCAAACCTAGGCGCCACACATACTGTAAGTTTGCATGTTCACCCTGTGCCTGCGTGGGTTTCCTCTGGGTACTCCGGTTTCCTCCCACACTCTAAAGACATGCTGGTAGATCCTGTCTAAATTGGCCCTAGCATGTGTATGTATGAATGTGCGTTAGGAACCTTAGATTGTACGCCCCTTGAGGGTTAGGGACTGATGTGAATGTATAATATATATGTAAAGTGCTGCGTAAATTGATGGCGTTATATAAGTACCTGTAATAAATTCATAAAAAAATATGTTCTTGTGTTTGGCATGCTCCCAGAACAAAGACCAGGATCTCACCAAGATCTCCGGTTCTTGTACTAACGATCAGGACCCGGGACTCCTGGCTCCCGGTCACCTGATCGTTGTGATAGCCTCTGAGTGGCTATTACAGTGATCAGTCACTATGCACCCACCCCTCAGAACGGAGAGAAGGATACATTGTATATTTATATTATTGCAGTTATAAGGATATAAACAAAAGCGTGTAAGAAAAAAGTAAAGAAAGAAAATAAAGAAATTAATTGCTAGATCAATGTTTGATCTAGGTCAGGGCAGGGGCGGACTGACCAGTTGGAAACTCGGGCACTATCCGAGGGCCCGGGGTCAGTAGGGGGCCACATGAGATGCCCCTGGTACATTTTTCATAGGCTTTTTTGAGTTTGGGCAAGAACACAGGGGCCCCATGATCCCCTATTGCCCGGGGGCCCCATGAGTTGTCAGTCCACCCCTGGGTCAGGGTTAGGGTCAAGGTAAGGGTCAAAAGTTAGGGTCAGTATATTTTAGGTAGGATTTTGAAGAAAAAAAAAGGGCATTTTGTAAAATGAATGCTAATGTTTTTGGTAGGAAACAAAAAAGCAAAATGCGCACTAAAGTTTGTGGGCCCTACTAATGGTGTATACAACCAATAACATATACACATGTGGTATTGCTGCGATCATCAGGAGCAGGAGAATATATTCTGGGTTATTCTTTGGTGGTTAATTATGGTAATAGCAAGAAAAACACAGCTGAATTTAAAACAAACTTTATTGTTTTTTACTATTTTGGGACAGTTTTCCTTTGATTTAAAAAAAAAAAAAAAAAAAAACTAAATAAAACTAAACAAAAAAAAACAACAACAACAGGAGACATCCATTACCATTTACCACCAAATGAAAGCCCATTTTGTCCTGAAAAAACAAAGTATAATTCACCTGGATTCACAAAAGTATTTGCGATATGTTCAGTTTTACTAACACAGGTCAAAAATTGCAAAGTTGGGTCTGGGAGTTGCGAAATGTTACTAAACCCACAACAGTAAAATCAGTCTGTAGATGCAGTAAAGCATGCTCGTTATACTCACTGTGGAACCTAAGGGGTTAATCCTCTGCATTGTGTAAAAAATAATGTTTGACCCCATCTTTTCTGATCCTCCCCTTCTTCTACTGTCTCCAATCTATCTGCCGATAGAATACAGCCTTGAGGGCAAGCTGCACATGCTTAGTTTGGTGTGTATTGCTCGAGAGTGTTTTTTTTTTTCTTGGGAGAGTACATGTGATAAGCACAGGGCCACTGATAGAAGTCACAAGACTGATCTAACTGCTGATGAGAAAAGGTATTTAGCAGTTTATATATTTTATATAATTTTTCTGCACAAAATAAAATATGAGGATGTGTCGAGTAAATAGATACCAAATATGTCAAACCTCAAAAAAACTTGAAAAAACCCCCAAAATGTACCTAGAAAGGGAACACTTTAAATGCATTTACAGCTCATCAGTTTGGAGTTAATCTCCTGTAAAAGAGGAAGCTAAAACGATTTCACTTTGGAGTGCACCATGAAGCCTAGTACATATTGCATAATTGTTGTTTACAGTTGTGCCCTATGTGTTCCCTATGTAGCCGATTGTGTTTGTAGCTGTGCATGGGGCAGTGGAGCACTTTTAAGACCCCGACTGGATGCAAATTGGCATGCGATTTGTATGCCATGCGACTTGCAAATCGTATGCCAAATTGCAGCCTATTGTCCACAATTAGAGCGGTCATATCAGTGTGGTTCCGACTTGGTTTGGGTAGGGTTTGCATGTGACCGGGGTGTAAATGTTATTTTTTATTTATTAGGTTTTAATTATTTAAGCACTTTTTTGCACATACTGTAATTTTCTTAGAGAGAGAGGGGCAAACAAATCTATAGGCTATGACAGCAATGGGCAGGTTCTCTTTATGGAGATATCAGGAGTCTATTAGACCCCTAATGTCTCTTCTGCTTCGGTCGATGGAGCACTATGCTATGCTGTGCTAGATCTGCTGTTTATCCAACTTTGAAACTAAGATTTTGATTGAGCTCCTCTAGGTTTATGCTCTGCAAAGAGCATCGATTGTTCCTCGGTGTCCTCCTGCTCACCATCCTGAGAATGTTTTTGTGGTCTTTGGCTCCCAGGAGGAGCAGCAGAGCTTGGAAATCATGGAGGGTGGGGGATGAAGGAGAGGTGGGGGGAGAAGAGAAGGTTCAGTGGAGGGGATGGCACATTACAAGT